TAAAAAAGATATTTAAATTTCGAACTCTTTAAATTATTGTTTAAATCAAACGCCAACAGTGTTCCCGAATCCTTTACATTTGACTGCTGATAGGAGTGAAGAACAAATAATTGATATCCATGTTTTATGCCTTTTAATTTGTTAAATAAATTAATTAATAAAACATGACAAAATCGTGGCGTCAGGCTGGTTACATAATCTGTTTTATGCCTTTAATATTTGTTGAATTTCCCAATGCCCAACGTGATAACCAAGTACATATTACTCAGATTCTCACCCACCCTGAATATTGTTACCTTGGGCCTAATTTTAAATTTTTTTTTTTTTTTTTTATTTGGTAAAAAAGCATAATCCCCTTTATTATATGCCATATATAACTTTATTCATCTCCATCTAGTGATGTTGAAATATTGCACATAAAAAAGATTCAATCCAATCAAATAGCATCTTTACGTCTATTTTACTCCTACAACTGGGGATTAATTTGTAATTTAATTAAAGTGCATATAGGCTTTAGGGTCGGCCAAGCGTTTAATGGTTTTCGGAACAATATTTCAGAGTTTGCTTTAAACTTGCGTTTGACACATGGTATTAATTTAGTTCTAGAGAATTAGATTTGCTTAAATTGTAAATACTATTTTGTGTTTGGTAAGTATCTTACGAAATCTAATTATATAAGCTGATAAGTTCAGAATTCTCTATTAAGTTGATTTAGTGTTTTTAAAAAAATAACCAAAAAAAATTGGGTCTATATGTAATTAACCAAAATTCTTTAACTAAATCCTAGTATACCATCATCCCTAACCTTCCAACACTTAAGCAAAACCTTATCATTTCCAAACTTTCATTTGCAATCTCTCACACCAAAAATACAATATCAAGCAAGTAGAATCACTACATCCAAGTAACAACATTGATCTTTAACTTAAAATTGCTATATTCCTACTATTTTTCATTTTTTATGTTACAATAATTGTCTTCAATATTTCTTAGTTGACATAATTTAATACACCAGCAGGCTAAAAAATACTCCAATGGACAAAATATTTTGCATAATAGCATAGAAAATTATGTTAATGAAGAAGGACAAAATTTGTATTTTAAACCAGTTGGCGTATTTTTAAACCAATTGGCATAAAAAACTATGCCAACTAGGAATCTTTACAAGAACTTTCCCAATTGGCATGGGAAAAATAACATCAAGTGTCGAACCACCTACAATTCCTCAAATTCAGCACGAACAAAACCAATACACTTCTATTCACATCAAACACAACATCACCCACACTACCAACACTCATAATATTCATAAAAGAGTAATACTAAGTCTATAATCTTCTCTCACAACCCCGACATGACAGCTCGTAATTGGTTAGCTCGCAAATGGGCAGACGGGACCCGTAACAAGCATGCAGAATCCATTTACGAGCTATCATGTTGGGGATTATGAGAGAAAGTTGTAAAATTTGGTTATGGACCTATCATTACTGTTTGTAAAAATAACTTCCACAACAATAATCACATTAACCTGAAAACTGTAGAAATTTAAAATCCAAAAACCTTAACTCAAACCCAAAAATCTTACATAAACTAAAAAATCCAGCTTCCTTCAAAGTATCCGGTTAACTTAGTTCTCACCACCAAAATCGCCTAGAAATCAATCAAAGAAGAATCAAAATACTAACTTTAATCAATGTGTACCGTGTTAATGCAATAAGGAAGTGAAAATCCGAAAATCAAAATCAGCTCTAACTCTCTTTTTTTTTAAATGGGAAAGCCTTGGAGAAAAATTTGCTTACACATGAGGGTAATGTCAGGAAAATGGCATTTGGTGGTTATATGGATATGGGGTTTGAAATTTTGGTTAATTATTATAGGCCCTCAAAATTTTGGTTATTTAATTAAAACCCATTGATTTAACTAGATAATTGGATATTTATATAATGTAATATAAAAATTTATGTATGTTTTATTAGTAATTCATTGATATGATTTGTTTGTAATGATCAATGGTCTTCCTTTCTAATAGAATATACAAACATTTAGTACACTGTTTTGTCCGGTTGTGAAAAATTGTACAGTCAAGTTTGTTTTGTCCAACACTATATGAACAATCGCGCCCTATATATGATCGGTGGGTACTTTTAATTGAATTAAGTTTTACAAAGTTTATATGTATTTTATTACTCAATTTCTAGAAAAGCTTTGAAATTATCTTATCATTCAGCTGTTACGGATTATTGGAATAAGGGGAAAAGTTTTCCACTTATCCAAAGTATTTATTCTTGGGTGATCAGAAGTGTGTGATGCCTTTATCAAACTAAAAGCATCTTTTTCAATTTCTTCAGACAAATTAATATTAACTATTTAATGTAAGTTTGATTAGATATTTTATGTGAATGTAGTATATATTTTGTTATCTAACTGTTCATTAAAAAAATTATATAATAAGGTTAATATTGACTTATCAGTTACCCTAATACTCTATCCTCACCATTGGGGGAGAGGAATCGCACCTAACATTACCTAATTAAATTTTTAATATCTTTCTTAATCTCCATGCCACTTGTATTAATTTCATTTCCATTACAAGCACTTGAATAGTTTTACAAAATATAGAAAATAAAGGTATACAGTGTTAAAACGAAAGTCTATAAAACCAGTGAAATTGCAGTCCTCTTGTATCATAACTCAAAAGAAAAAATGCCTTATTTTGCTATTTGGCCCACTACTACTACAAAGGAGCTGCCTACAAGCGTGCCTCTGACCACAAAACAATTGGAGGAAATTTTCAAAAAAAATGACGTCGACGGAGATGGCCGCCTCACCAAGGAAGAGCTGAAGAAAGCATTTGAACAACTGGGTTCACGCAATCCTGGTTGGCGAGTTCATCGTGCGTTTCGCCATGCAGACAACAACAAAGATGGATCCATCAGTTTGGAAGAGCTGGATGAACTAGTCAAATATGTTGTCGGTTTAGGATATCGCATCAGTTAGTTTGAGGTATTCAAACCCTTAAAATAACTAATTAATATCAATGATTAATTCTGTGTTCGTACGTGTTTATATGCGCTAGCTTGCAACTGATATATCTCTAAAAATTTTATATGTATTATCCTATGTTAATTGAGTTCTGTTATTTCTATATATATATTCAGCAGCAGCGTTTCAAGAGTGGTTTGATCTCTATTACTATTAGAAATAAAAGGAAAAGCGTACGTTTGGTGGTTACTTGTTAATCTCTTATTATTATTCTTGATGTGTATATATATATATATATTGCTTATAATCCTTCTAAACAATCATGCACCTTTTACTGGACTTGCATGCGAAGTATATATTTACGATCGATCCGATTCTGTTAGCCCACCTGCAATTGCACCTTTCATCCATCGAAAACTTATATGTACTTCTGAAACCAATTTTGCGTTTAACTTGATGAGACGACTCTTAAAAAACTGTTTACAGTTAATTATATATTCTCTGAAGTCTTCACTTCACTTGTCAATTAATCTAATAAATTCATAGCATATATTTGAAGATGACTCCACTCCTGTGGCAAATTGTCTATTTATTANATATATATTCAGCAGCAGCGTTTCAAGAGTGGTTTGATCTCTATTACTATCAGAAATAAAAGGAAAAGCGTACGTTTGGTGGCTACTTGTTAATCTCTTATTATTATTCTTGATGTATATATATATATTGCTTATAATCCTTCTAAACAATCATATATTGCTTATAATCCTTCTAAACAATCATGCACCTTTTACTGGACTTGCTTGCGAAGTATATATTTACGATCGATCCGATTCTGTTAGCTCACCTGCAATTGCACCTTTGATCCATCGAAAACCTATATGTACTTCTGAAACCAATTTTGCGTTTAACTTGATGAGACGACTCTTAAAAAATTGTTTACAGTTATACTACATATTCTCTGGAGTCTTCACTTCACTTGTCAATTAATCTAATAAATTCACAGCGTATATTTGAAGATGACTCCGCTCCTGTGGCAAATTGTCTATTTATTACACGTATAAAACTTAGATAAAAATCTGATGAAAACTAATATAATGTACATAGACTAACCACCACTAAGTAACCTAATGGTAAAAAAGCGAAGGAGGATCTAATATGGTCTCCCAAATTCGAGTTCTCTTGATAGTAGAAGAGCAAGAGGAGAATCTAATATGATCTCCCAAAGAAGGATTTAATATGATCTCTCAAGTTTGAGTCCCCATGACTAATAAGGGTGACCACTGAAGCTATTATTGGTCGGTAACTCCAAGATTCCAAGAGATTAGTTGAAATGCACATACATTTGCCCGAACAATCCTGGTCATAAAAAAAAATGTACATAGTGTACTTAAGTAGGAATAAAAAATAAATGGAAACAGTATTGTTAATGTGCCATTTTTTATAAATGCATTATTCCTAAATTTTTTTTTTTTTTTTTTTTTTTTAAAATAAGGGAGATTGTAATTTAATAACTAGAACATGCAGATCTTTTAAACTTTTTTCAGAAAGACTCCTGCGGCCATGAATATGCTTCCTTCACCTTTGTGTGGGGGTCGTGTAATACACCATAAAGCAGTGAAAATGAAAGGGCATCTTATCTTATCGACTAATATCTTCTTTTCTCTTATATATACTTTCCCCTTATATTTCATGATTTATGTACCATTGAAAATAACTAAACATTAATTATCCCTACAATATTTCAGAAAAACTATGTAAAACTTCATCTTCTTTATCCAAGCTTCCAGGGCTATTTTATTGGACAAAAGATCGCCCAATGTAAAGTTAGTTTGTGGACTTTTCTTGTAATCAAGAACTTGTGTTATGTCAGCGCCCTTTATAATTTCCAGGCCCAATATTCTATTGATCCATATTCCATATTAAATTAAGCATTGCTACAGTACAAGTTTTGTAAATAATTTTACCAGTAAAATAAACTGATGAAGATCAGATGGGAGGATTAACAACCTTGTAAAGAGTTGGGGAGAAGCACTTGACTGTGAGAAATTTTCATTTGTCTGAAAAGATAAGACTGCACTGTACATTAATGTTTTTCCAACATCACTCTTTCTCTTTGAGAATTCCAACTTCCAAGATTCTTACAACACGCAAAACTGCTCCTGAGGTGATAACATGAACATAGCGTAAACCTTGTAAATTTAATTGATTTTGAAGCAGGACATAGATGTGATGGATCTAACTCTAACTAATGATCTTCGGCCTACTAATAAATCAACCAGTCCAACAGAGCCAACAAATGCTGTGGAACTCTTGCCATCATCTTGGCCAGAATTAGCCCTGTAATTTGTCAAAATAAATAAAACTACAAGCTTTAGTTCTCTGGGAAAAGGTTTGTAGGTTTAAGACAAAATGCAAAATGACAACCTCAAATACAATTTACTTTTCAAACTGGTTCTGGAAATGTAAAACATGACTAGTTTTGGACACTATATTTCCCATTTTATCAAGAGAAAATTCTCCACAAAATTATCTATTTTAAATTTTAATCTTACAAGTGCGTGCTATGTTAGCAGCTTCAAGTATAGAAGTGTCAATAAAATGATTAACCTTCATACGACAATCTAAACTTCCATCTTGGGTTTTGGATGAAAAAAGCTTAGTTAAAAGAAGATACCTGAAAAGTTCCAGAACCAGCATGGGCGACGACCATACATCTCGGTTTCCAGAGTCAAGCAACATTTTACTAGCTGACACCTTCAAACATCAACATCAGGAGGAGGTAGTCTCCAGAAATTCCATGAATTAAAATCCTCCTGCAACCAATAAAAATAGGAAGTGAAGAGCACGAAAATTAAGCATTCCACAAAATATCAACTTCAACTGAAAACTCAGAATTCAGATAATTTGTATGAGAATGGGATATGTAAAGTTGCTCAAGTTGATATCAGATAAAGAATGAATAATGAGTATAACTATACGTGAAGGATATATAATCTAGGATGTATGGCCAAAAAATGAGGATTACCATCTCACAATACATATATAAAGAAAAGAAGGCCCAGTTTTTCTTGCTCACCAATGTTTAGGTTGTCAAATAAAAATTTCTTGAAGCATGAAGTAAAAAGTAAAACAGCACCAAGTGAACTAAAATAGATCTCTGACTTGGGCATATATTTTTAAATTCTTTAAAAACAACACCTGAGCTATTACAAGCTTAGAATTGAGAGTCAAAAACAAACCTGCTCAGACGAGGTCGTAGAAGGAAACATGCCATGAACAAGAGCATGAAGTGAACTATATGATTTTGTGTCAACACGTCGGCTTACAGCAACCTCACCCTGCAAAATGGGAACCATCAGAAAGAAAATTTGGAATGAAGTTGGCAACTAAGGGCCAAAGTCATTAATACTTTGCCGTCTTTTAAGCATGGAAGCTTTAAATTACCTTGGGGTTAATAATAAAGATTTTTCCTTTAGGGATTCCAACCTTAAGGTAGCTGATTTCATCAGTGTTTCTGTTCCCAAAACCAGCATAGAATGGATTGCAATCAGAAGGAAACAATGCTCTGATATCCTGGTAAGTAACAGAAAAAATTTGAAAGACACATCATTTAGAAACTACTCGATCACATAGAAGATTGTATTAGTTAGCAGTCGTTTAAACTTGCCAAGACTCAAGGAAGGACAGCTAATAGTGATATCAAATTCTCTTTCTGCATACATCTAAAACAAAATTTAGGCAAGAGGTTACAAAATTTCTGTTACTTAAGCAAACAATGTCAAGATCAGATTCAGCATAAGTATCGCATAAAATAATACTTGAAACAAGTTATGATATTTATGATTTATAAGTAATAATCAACAATAGACTAGGTTTACCATGTAAAGTGAAAAGGAACCAACACAGCACAGTGAATTTATTACAAATCTTACCCAGAATACAAGGGATTCAGTTGGTTCAGCTTGTGTTTGTAGCTAAGAAAAGAAGTCTACCATAAGCAGAAACTTCAGATGCATGAATACTCTCATAACAACAGATATAAGAGTGGAGACTCTTTACAGTTTACACATTGAATATGAACAAACAGATGTAAGACCAAGGAAACTAACCTCTAAGCATGAGATCTTGAATTCATGAGGAGCTCGTCTTATAACTGAAAAAAAAAAAATAGGACACTTCAGTCCTCGTTTTATGATTTAACAAGGAGCTTTGACAATAAAATTCAAGTTCCCAACAAATTAACGAGCTTAGCCATCAATTGAAGCCAACCATCCTTCTATATTAACCATCAATTGAAGCCAACCATCCTTCTATATTAACTTAAATATCAAATTGTTGAAATGTAAAATAGGAAATAGAATTATTCTCTTTGTAATATAGGAAATAGAATTATTCTCTTTGTAATATAGGAAATAGAATTATAATAGGAATAGGAAATAGAATTATAATAGGAATGTAACAATTTACTTCCTAGATTGGTTTTTTATTTTTGCTATAAATTCATTGTACATTTCATTATGAAAATACAAGAAAATATTTCTCCACACAAATGATTCTAGAGATTTCAAATCATGCACCAAACAAAATCAGATATGTTAAAAGATTTTAATTTTTTTTAACATGAGAGTAATTTCATCAGTAAATGAATGAAAAATTTGTGCGAATAAATAAACCAAAAGGATGAATGAGATACAAGAAAATTAAATAGAAAATATTCTAATTATAAAGGAAGTTCTGCACAATCCAAAATAGAAGTAAACAAAACAATATAGAAAAGACTAGTTACCTTCTCGAAATAGAGATGGAAAAACCCCATCAGGTGAAATAACAACAGGCCCATCAGGTAAAGCCTTCCCATCCTGGATATATAAGAACATAAATTTGTTATACTAGGAAAAAAAAAAAAAAAAAAAACTTAAAAACCTTGATTTCTTATTTCATAAAAATGAATATGAGAACTTCTAAGTAACAATTGTTTATATTTCACCTGCTTGAGGTTGAATAAAAATTGTCTAGTATGATAGGCTTGAGAGATTGCACGCGCACTAAGAAAAAGCAGTTGATACCCGTTTTCCTGCAAAACACAGAGTCCATTTAAGATACCCTGATGTTGTCCCTACCCATGAGTCACAGTGTAAGGATGTGGAACCTTTTGGTGCTCTAAAACTCCTAGACATAAGGCATTTCCTAGCTGATAAAATGAATGCAAATGGATAAACCTAAGGCTTGAGATGTTGCCACCGATTAATTTTCATGGTTTGCACCCACCAGTTTCTTCATGAGCGGTGAAGAGTGACTGACTATAGAGTGCTATCAAATCATTGAGAAGCTGAAAATATAACAAACCTTAATAGCTGAAAATAAATGTGTAACGCCTGTTTGTGACCAATCCATCCCAACCATAGGCATGAACTGACCTAGAACATCTGATCTGCAGTAAAAATATGAAAGGATATGTGAATCAATCAGGAGAATGAATAACCCTTAGCTAAGCAAGTCTTAAAGAAAAGAATAGATCACAATGAAAACCAATAGCAATAATTGCTAGAAGCAAAAAGGAGTTACGTGATGCAAGCTAACTTCAGTACCTAGTGAACCAAGAGTAGAACCATGGATGGGGAGAATTAATTCGGAAAAAGAAAAGGACATTAGCAGGTTCTACGAGTTTACAATTTAGGTCCCAAGAAGTTCAAAATAGTACTCGATCTATCAACCAGCTAATGCTAAGGCCATGTACACTATGAGCAAAAAAGTGATAAGAAGCTGGGAAGAAAAATCACCTCTATGAACCTTCTAAACAACGTCAACATCCAATGCACTGGCAGTTAGAAATCCAAGTTGGGATAATTCTTTCTTGGGCTATGAAATTACTTAAGGTTTTAGAACAGTCAAGAGTTTTACTTGTCTGGTTATAAGGACATCAGAGCATGCAACCAAAACACCCCATCATTATTCACCAACTTATCTCACCCAGTAAATTGAATTATTTACTTTGCTTCCTATTAAGGGAGTAATGCTAGATCTAGACCAATAACAGTCCTCTTCAACTCCCTTAATATGAAAGCCTGTCTCAAACCAAGACTTGGCCTACTGCCATTAGACATTAAAATTTATGCTGGGTGGCGTATTCAAGTTTTCTTGGGATATATTTTCATATTTATTGCTTTTAAAGTGGAATAATTATTTGCGTATACATTTAGCATACATATTTTCAAGAAATTAGATTCTTCTTTTTTTCTCCTCTCCTGATGACTCACTGGAGATTTAAGGGTGTATTATCCAGCCCACCAGATAATTCTCCTCTCAGGTGAAGTGAAACTGTTGCTCATCTTTTGAAAGGGGAACAGGTAGCACTCAGTACAGAGGCCGTGATAACTAGTTTCCAATTCTTTTTAGGTTACTAATCTATACAACCATATTTTAGTTGTAAATACTGCTAGGCAATTCTCTTATTGATTTAAATAATATCAAAATGAAGTAAAACATGAACCTGAAAGTTTTAGTCCTTTAAAATAAAGTGAGAAACAAAACTCTTTTGCATTATGATGAAAAAATAAAAATAAAAAAACCTTACTTTGTAATTGTTCCATCCACATCTGAGATTACTATCCGAGTGTTCCATTTCCACAAATAAATTCTGGCATCAACCTGTAGAGTAATGCAATTTAAGGTGGGCGGCAAATGAAAGAATGAAAAACAGAAAACAATAAGTAAAGAAAAATTCAATCTAAAATTGCTATGCACCAGTAAACAAGAAAAATGAAAAAAAAAAAGACCTCTTGCTCCCCTAGCATTGCAGTGGAGAATGTGAAAGTAACAGTGTTCCTCCCTTCCTTCAGATTCAGAGATGCCAGCTGCTCGGAAGTTGGAGTGATTGCCCTAACCATCTTCTTTGCCATCTTGGGTTTAAACACATTATTAGCTTCATTCAAGCCATCAATGCTCTCTGAAGCGACCTCAGCATCAGAACTTTTAGTATCACTTTGGGCTGGTTGTGTAGCCTTCCTGGATTTTGATCTTCTAAGAGAAAAAGGCCAAAGCCTCCAGCTTCCACCAGGGGAAACAATGGATTTTGAAGGATCCCCTACAAGAGATTTCTCAACTCGGTCAACCGGTATCATGCCTTTTGGCTCATTAATTTCTTTAATTCCAAATGCAACCATCCCCAAGACAAATGGAGCAGCCACATCCCATGGGAAGTAATGGCCACCAATTCTGACAACAAGCCTATCATTCTTCAAAACAGCAGGACCTGGAGAAGTAAATTTCTCTATATCTACTTTTTCAGCATCAAATGCCTGAGAAGCAGCATTAGCACCCATTCCTTCCCATAACAAGTGTTTGCAAAGAGATACCTCTGCATAAAGCACAATGCATGTGACTTTCTAGATATTTTCAGCAAAAAACTTGCAAACCAGAAACAAATGAAATTATTCCATTTGTTCTGGGAGAGCAACTATAGGAATTCTACACACCTACAGCAAAGACTCACTAGCAGAGGGAGGCAATGAAAACAACTTAATTATAATCTGTTGAATATTATAATTGAAATTTAAAAGTAAATGGAACAATTTCATTTCATTGCACAGTCCAAATGCAAAGAAAATTACAATATGAAAATGTAAATAAGATGAATGCATCTTGAAGTTCTCTTACCAACTGTAGGACTGGAAAGAGCACTTTTGAGCTCTTGACTATTGTCAATATTAGGCTGTTCTTGTGCCAGTTGTTGTTCTTTGTCAGCATCTGACTTTATGCAGCTAGAATCGTTTTCCTTGAGCAATGTCCAGTTCAAGGGTTCAGAATTTAAGTCCAACGAATGGCTAACAGGAAAATGATAAGCATCCGCACTCAAGTCACTAGTAGGATACCACATATTTGGCAATGACTCTGCCAGTCGCCCAAGTTCTTCAACAGCCTTATGACTTCCAGGAACACTAATGGGACTTGACATTACTCTTAATTTCTCCATTGAGTTTTCAAGATCAGTCGATGGGTTGTATTGAGCAAACATATCTGAAGAAGAATAAGACTCATCGTTTGCATCGACTAACCCATTGACTGCTTTGATGCCTTCACCACTATAGGCTAGATGATTATCTTTTTTTAAACAAGCTGGAGAACTTGAATCAACACAATGAACCTCGTTGAATTTGAATTCATCAAGGTCACTGAAAAGGAATTGTTCTTCCTCTAAACTCGCCAGTGGTGAATCACTTCCTGCTTTATCCATGACAATGTCACTATAATTTCTTTTGGAATCACCAATACCCAAAGACTGATGAACATCATCTGTAATATTTAACCCATCCTGAACCTCAGAACTGACATTTAGAGTGGCGCAAATATTCTGTGAGTCTACTTCTTTGGTTGAACAGAGTGCTGGGTCAGCACAGACCATGTCAGGATAAGATTCTGGCATTATTATCGGGTTTGCAACGTCCGTATCAGAAACCTCTGCCAGTTCTTTCTTCAGATCAATATGCTTTGCTTGCTTGACATCAGTATCCTGACAAGAGCTACTAATAACTCAGTCACAAAAAAAAGCAAGAAGGACTGGACTACCCATTTTTCACCCCTTCCCCCCGCCTACAGTTATATGCATCATCTCAAAAATTATTGAGTTATTGAATAAGTATAACGATCACTATACTTTCACATATATTAAATTGTAATGTTCTTTTGCAACTAATAGTAAAGATCATGGTAGAGATTTACCTTCAATAGTAGCTCAGTTGTCACATGTACAGTCTCGACAGGAACATGGACTTCCCCACATCCTCCACTGGTAAGGTACAGTGTTTCTTGAGCCTGATTATTTGAATTATCCAACCCAATTATTGAGCTCTCTGATGTTTCACAGTATACAAAGGATTGAACTCTGTCTGATCCACTCTCGTCAGAAACTCTACAACCTGGACTAATAGGATCCTCTTCATCACAAGCCTGTTCTTCATCAGTTAGCTTTCGATGACATTCTTCAAGCTCACATTCAATTAGTGAAACTGGGCAGGCCTGGTCAGCATTCCCTACACCAAAATCGTCAGCTGCTCTTAATATTTCAGATACTATTACACAATCTGCTTCCACGGTACTTTCACCAAATAAGGAAGTTTCAACAACTTGTTCCATGGTTTCAACACATGATGCTTTTATGCTAGCTTCCACAGTAGAAGTCTCCAGGTTCTCAGAGCTAGAGAAAGGACATCCATCCATTTGCTCTATTAAAGAAATAGTTTCCCTGTCTGATACAGAATCATCAGTCCTGTTCTTCCTATCGTCATTCACAGATGATTCCACCTGGATTTCATCATCTTTTACCTCTATATGTTCAACCACTTTATCATCCAAAACATCATCAGCAGAAAACCGGGAAGCATTATCTTTCCTGCACTTACTAGAGGCCAAATTGGTAGACCACTTCACCTCCAATAGATCAGCTGCAATCTCAGCACGTTCCAATGAACTTAGCCTTGACATGCTAGCATCGCCTTCTCCCTCCTTATAGCCATTATCCTTCATAGACCTCCGTCCAAGAACAAACCCGAGCAACCTTGCCCGGCGAGAACCAGACCTAGCCACAACCTTCTTATTACTAGCATCAATCTGGTCAGCTGAATTCACCTCATCAGCATCATAATTGCAACTTTTGGACTTCATTGACCTCCTATTACTATTAGATTGCCAATCCGTTTCATCACTGGAAGACGAAGGATATAGTACATATTCTCCTTCTTCAACATCTACCTCCTTGAGAAAGTAAGCTTCCCCTTTATGATCAAGATACATGTGGAAATCAGCTTCAACTCCATTAACACTAATAGTAACAACCTTCTCTTTTGTCTTCAAAACCCCCTGAAATTTTCCAAACTTGACATACCAAGGCGATGATTTGAAGCTCCCATCTGGTTGTTCCACCACTATTATATCCACAGCTCCACCAAATGGATGAAAAGGCCCAGACACCGTGTACACGCCCCGCGAGATATAGCTCCCTATTCTCCTATACATCCTCTTATTTGCCGATTTCTCAACCACACCTTTTAAAACAATCTCAATAATTAATTACTCAATCATAGTTTAAATTGAACAACCTGAGCGATCCATCGTCTGAGGACGCTTTATTATTTCCACTAATTTCAATTCGTATATCACCCAGATCAACAAAAACCTCAAAATCAGAGCATAATCAACAAACCCAGTTGATCACAAGTCAGAATAATAACATACAAAATAATATACCACAGAATGAGAAGAAAAATAAAAAATTAAAGACTGTCGAAATTCATAAGCTGTTGAATACTGAAAAAGATTAATCAAAGACCAAACCCAGCTCAAAGACAACCCAAATGAGGAGAACTTATAACCAAACAAATTGAATTAAAAACCAACCGCCGAGAGGAAGAGCAGTTGGTGTAATACAGCATATTCGCATTTAATAATACGAATGTGCCAAATTAACAATCATTAAATTCCAAGAGATAAAAGGACAACACATTTTTATTTTTACTCTTATTTTATAAACATAAAACAACAAAAACTACTCTATTAATAATTAATAAAAGTGATAAAATGGAAGAAATAAATTGAAGTGGAGATGGAGGCAATGGTGACGATAGTTAGGCGATCTCGACAGTGAGAACTTCTGGTGGTTTCTTGTAAATGAAATGAATATGATAGATTTTCCATGATGAAATGGTGACACGTCAGCAGGGAGAAAATGTATGTACGTGAAGAGGATGGGGCCAGAACAAGGTCCTAGGTAGTGCCAGGTCACAAGTCTTGTGTTCAGTTTATCTTAGCGGTGTTGGGACCAAACTGCTAGTTGGGTAAGTGCGAAAACTGTCTTCTCTAACCAACAGGTTTCAGGTTCTCCTGGCCCTGCTACAAGTTTATTACACCAATATAAATCAGTTTGCTTATCTAAGTGCGAAAAACTGGAAGATTTTAGGACCTATATATACATATATGATATAACAATACTTTTAAGAAATTAAAAAGAGAATCAGCATATCACCTCAGTATCATACAATAATTTGGACTGTTACTTGTTAGATCCAATCTACGGCTAGCTTTAACTTTAAGGCGCGATTATGTAAGGTTTGTTAAATAGCTTCTGTCAAATGAATTCAGCACGGACTTTGTGAATGATAATACGTTTGGTTGTAAAAGAAGCAGATGACATGTCGTCTATATCTACCTAGACCTTTTAAATATTTCAGTGCACCTGTCGTTTTATTGATGTATTCCATATAAATTAATGGGGTGATCCGGTGTATCCAGGAGAATATTTTGTTAATTCAAAATTGGTTCCCCCTTAGCACTTCGTCTTCGGAGCCAGAACACTACGTAGTCCGAAATACAATCACCTTAATTCATAAAATATATTATGTCGTTCTCTAATATCATGCATGACATGTGATGTTCATATGAGAAAGGTATTTTGATTCAGTAAAAAAAAGTGCTTTAACAAGTGCATCTAGAAGCTTGTTAAATACAAATAAAGAGCACACTTTTACACCACATGTTTTCTGCAGTTCAACTAGTCCAAGTCCCTGTAGCTGACTTGTAGTTGTTGGTAAGTCTAATAATAAAGGCCCCTTGGCTTTCGTTTTTCGTCACGTCACACAATACTGGCAGCCTTGGTCCGGCTCTTGATTGAATTGATGATGAGTGCGTTCTGTATTCTTAACATAGAAGACTACTGAAATCTTAATTAATTTAAAATATTTGTAAAAGATTTTAATAGACATTCCATATTGTGATTTCTTTATTTCACCTTTTATATTTTTGGGCCATAGAACTAGTCTAGCCCAACCAAGGTCCACTAGTCCTGTTGGGTTGCTGGTTTAGGTGCAAATAGAACTTAACGAAGCCCAAACAATCATGTGATTGTTTTAGACCAACCCACTTATCGATTCTTGTAATTACAAAGAGAGTTTCAAAAACAATAATGTTATGGATATCGGGACTGTACACCGAATTTTTACATCGAATTACATGTCATCACACTCAGACCAACCACGTATCACTTTAACAAATATTTTGCGAGTGAATGGTCGTTAATCAACTATGGACGACCGCTTACTGTTATTGGATAGACGTGCATCAAAGGTGGACTCCCGTCCATGCGAAATGAAAGAAGGACGAGTATCCACCTATAATGGACGCCCGTCCATAGTTTAAATTTAAAAAAATTGAAAACAAAAATCATGAGTTCCATACTAATGGATGGGCGAACACCTTTAATGGACGTCCGTCAAAACTATAAATTAAAAAAAATTAAAAACAAAATTAATGGACACCCGTTTAAATGTTATGGACGGGCATCCCTTAATAATGAACGAGCATCCACCGTTATTGGACGCCCGTCCAAACTTTAAATTTAAAAAAAATTATGCTCAACTTAATGGACACGCGTTCAAATTTTTTTGAACGGGCGTCCCTTAATAATGGACGGGAATCCACCTTGAGTGGACTGCAGAAATTTGTATTCTCAAACTTGTAAAGAGTCATTCTTGAAGGCTCCATATGCCATTCACTGAGATCAAGGCTTTTCTCTAATTCATCTAACACTGCTCTTCATAATATCATTACCTTCGAGAACTGATGTAACTCCATTTTTCGTGTGCAGGCTGGCATACATATTTTTGGATAGCATTTGTACCTTTTATTGTAAGTGAACCAATCATACAATTCTACTGTACTACAATTCTTCTGTTTGATTCATTACAATTTGTGTGCAACTTTTGACATGCATTTTAGGACTGTATGCACTTTATTATATTCCCATGCCCCATAATTCCATTTAATGCATTGACTGTATTTCAGCTTCTACTTGCTGCGGGGACTATGTTGGAGCACATAATAACCCAATTACCGCATGAGGTTGCTGAGAAACATGTTGCAGTTGAAGGAGATTTGGTGGTTCAACCTTCTGATGATCACTTCTGGTTCAATCGGCCTCGGATTGTTCTCTTTCTCACTCATGTCATTCTTTTCCAGAACTCTTTTGAACTTGCATTTTTCTTCTGGATTTGGGTAAGAATGCGATACTATTTATACTAAAATTATCAGTCTCTCAATTACAGATAAATGATAACTTTACTGGTCATATTTTTCAGCTTCAATATGGCTTTGACTCTTGCATAATGGACAAGTTCGTTTTATCATTCCCAGACTGTTATTGGGTAAAATTATAAATGTGTCTTGCAGCAAGATGAGGCTCAACAATTGGAGTCTCACTCTCAAAAGACCTTATGGCTGTTGCCGAGAAGCTCTTCAAACTAATATCTAAACTCGGGCCATTAGTTCTTCAAATGTCAGAGCAACTTCATTCGTTACACTTTAGTCGCTAAAAAACTTTTTAAAATGAAGATTAAGTCATACATTCCGATTTCGTTGGCTTTCGAACATTTCTGTATTCATGCAGGAGGAAGAGCAATGCTAGATGAATTAGAGAAAAGTCTTGATCTCAGTGAATGGCATATGAAGCCTTCAAGAATGACTCTTTCCAAGTTTGGGAATACAAATTTCTGCACCTTGGCGTCCACTCAAGGTGGACTCCCGTCCATATAAGGGATGCCCGTTTGAACGGGCATCCATTAAGTTGAGCAAATTTTTTTTTAAATTTAAAGTTTGGACAAGCGTCTAATAACGGTGGACGCCCTTCCATTATTAAGGATGCCTGTCCATAACATTTAAACGTGTCCATTATTTTTTTTTTTAATTTTTTTTATATTATAGTTTGGACAGCGTCCATTAAGGATTCCTCGTCCATGATTTTTGTTTTCAAATTTTTAAATTACTATGGACGGGCGTCAATTATAGGTGGACACTGTCAAAGTAAATGGACTGCCGTCCATATAATATAGATGGGAGCCATCGTTCATTTCTCATGGACGGCGTCCACCTTTGATGGACGTCCGTCCAATAACAGTGAACGATCTTCCATAGTTGATGAACGGTCATTCACTCGCAAAATATTTTTTAAGTGATACTGGTAGTCTAGTTGATGACACGTAATTCGATGTAAAATTCGTGTACCACCCGTGGTCCTTAGCATTATTGTTTCAAAAATCACAATGATGTTGGTGAGGCCCCATGGTCGGCTACGACTTCTGAGGAACAGGAACCCCTAGTCTAGTCAAAAGAGAGTCCAAACATATCATTTATATTGTTTAATTACCTTTATCGGATTTATGTCCCTAGTCTATACCCTGAATGGGATGCAGATGCAACATCCATCACCGGAAAATTTGGTAAAGTTATGTGTAGTGATGACCCTGGTTGACAATGAAAAGGGCAAAACAAAAAAGAGTTAAAACTTAAAAGTGATGTTTGATGTAGTAATAATTGATTGTTAGATTAATTATTGCGATCATGACCTGCAAAAGGTTTCTAAATTTTAATTTCTATGAAAGATTTGTGCAAATGACACCTTCATTATATAATGCTTGTTTTGTTTGTCTTGTTGCTAAAATGTTCAGACCGCGGTACCTCATAACCCAGGTCTGAAAAAGTGCAGACGGCTTCAGTTTTTTTATTTTTAATGAGCTTTTCTTCATGCATCTCAGAGATGCAAGGGTTAAAGAAGCAATTGGTTCTTATATATACTTGACTTATATATGTACGTAAAATGTACTGCTCACTGTGGTAATGTGCCAGTCATTGGATATTTGGGATTTGTGATCTTCTCAGCAAATAAAAAAATCTTAGGTTTTAGACATAAAGTCCTTTCTTTTGTGTTCATGCTACTGTTTCCTTTTTCTAATTAACCTCTCTAACAGGAAAGCAGTTATCCATATTGCATGGAGCAGAACGAATTATAATTTAATGGGGGAGCATGATTAATTGTCTACAGTTTCAAGCTTCAATTACTCATGAGAGTTCTTCCTTGAGCCCAACAGCCATCTTCCTTTTTGTGGGGCTTCATTTCATAGCTTTGATGGGAAAAGAAACCTCTTGCTCTGGATTGGTGGGCAGTCCCAAAACTGCTCGTAAATTTCATTCGCAATTCTATATATGATACATCACTTAATTTATAATTAATTCTGAGCATGCATATATTGGCACAAAATGAAATCCCTTTGGTCTTCTTCTTCTCATTGGAGAGCCTTTAGTCATGGTACCCTTTTTCGCTTTTTATAGCTTTTGTATGGTGGTTCAAAAAGAATGAAAGCATTTCAGGTGGTGGGGATCTAAACTGGTATAGGGTGGTGCATATAATTATCATAAAGATGTCCTTAAAAAGCACAAAAGGTTGTTCAGTCTATTGCCCAAATCATTACAGTTTATCATCATGATCCTCATCATTTTCCTAATTTCAACTGAAATATATGAAATAGAACAGGTTACCCCCTTCGCATTATTGTTATCATCGATCTATAATTGTTGTACGTGACACCTTTATGAGTTTTAAGGCTGTCAAGCGTGCTCAGACCCACAACTCTCATGCATGACATTTCCTTTTTACAGCCTCACCCACCTTCATATACAATCATCAAGAGGTTTTTTTTTTTTTTTTTTTTCGTTATTTTCTGGGGATTGTACACCACTGTACTTGCTGCTTTTAGTATTACTCTATAATTTGTGATGTATGATGTATCTGAATTTGCAGGTTTAATTATAGATAATTTACATGGAGTCGTGGAGATATATGTTAATCTCTAATTGTCTGGTAGGTATGGATACCCACCACACACTATCTGAATCCGTGAAGAAGGACTTATTTATGTTGCTGGCATTAATTTTTTAAGTTGTAGGACATCACAAGAAACAGAAAAGACACTTGAACCATTATATATGCATAATTAGGTTGCTAAGCAACTTGAATTTTTGCTAATTGGATTATGTTAAATCTATTCTGCATGGCTTTCTGAGTTAGAATGATTAGGGAGACATCATAACAACATGAAATTACTTCAACTATTTGATGGAAATCCTCTGATAGCTCTGTTTAGATAGATGTAAAGGGCAACAAAAATTGACTCATTCAATCCACTAAAGACTACATCACCAAAAACAAATGTGAATTTCCTCTAAAGCACAAGCAATTGTTTTATGGGGAATACAAAGGATTCCCTCAAAAATTGTACAGAATTTGAATCTTTAATATTTTATAAATCAAAGTTTTAATTGAGCATGCACCAAGCCCATCACTATACCCTGCACACGTGAATGCCGAGAAAGCACAAGTAATCATCTGTTGAATGTAACACTATATTAAATTGATTGTGGATTGAAAACTAATTAATTTTCGTACATTTTCATATACACCATGTTATACACAGGAAAAGAAATTGTAAATGATAATTAATATAAAGTATAATATGAAAATCGAAAACTCCAAACTTAGCATTTAAGTTTGTCTTCCACAGCAATGGAATTCTTGCAATGAGCAATTGCAGCTTGAATTGCAGCTTGCAACTCTTCCATGGTGCTGTCACTTTTAGAAGGAGGTAGAGTTGTAGTTGCAACGAGTAGGCCACTATTTGAAGGAGATGTTCTGATTGATGCAGGGGCTGAAAATTCTCCTCTTCTTCCTCTCAACTCTTGTTTATTTCTGAAACTTAAATTACCTGAAAACGAACAAGGCTGACTATGGAAATGGAGATTTTCTCTCCTTCCTTTGAAAAATAATAGTGGCCTAACCATTCTGGCATACCTCTTTAGCACATTACTTACGTCAAATCTCATCTTCTTCTTCTGCTTCTCCTTATCCTCTCCATCTCTAACTTGGTAACAACCCTTTCGCCATCTTGTGAAACCGAATAATGAGAATGACTTGTTGGACTTGGTTCTACCTTTGCTCTCACTATCATTGGCTTGATGATTATGGCTTCTATTGTTGATATTGTTGTTGCTGTTTCTATTGCTATTGTTGCTGCTGCAACTTTTATCACTCTTTTGATCATCTACGAAGTCTCTGATGGGGAGGGTAAAGCTGTCCAATGAGTTGGTCGAAGAGCGAGGAGATACTGGAAGATGAGAGAGGAGATGAAGAGGAAGCAAATGTCCATGAAAGAAAATGTCATCTGCAGGTGACAAATCGATTGCAATTGAAGGTGGGGGTTTTGTTTTATCAGGTACTGGTGCTGAAGAAGAGTGAAGAGAAATTGTGAAGGAGAAATCATGAGAAGGAGACGAAGAAGCTGAAGATGGGGAAGCAGGAGATGGTGTTGTTAATTGCTTTGTATCCAAACCTTCTTGTATTAGGTGCTTGGCTTCTTCGTGTTTGTTGTCAAAAGCTTTCTCTTTGGTCATTTGATGCTGATTGGTGTCCATAGTTGAAAAGATTATGAGGAAAAGAAAGGAAAGAAAGACTAACTAATAAGATCTGATTCAGTATCTAGACGTCTCTCACTCACTTTTATGTTTGTAAAATTTTGGCTTTGGCTTTGGCTTATGGATATTACAAAAGCTATGGGAGAGGAGGGATAAGATTGGGAAGCAGCGGATAAAGAGAGAGAAACAGAGACTATTGTTAATCAGCAGTCGGGCTTAAAATGTCTATTGTAGACAGATGGAACATATATATTTTTGCATTATTCTTGATATGGAGAAAGGGTGTGGTGGCCATGGCACTATGAGATGAGATGATATATTTACTATTTAGCAGTATGTGTTAAAAGATTGGTGGGTCCTTGTCAAGTCCAACAACAGCTATTAAAGTGGTGATTTGGGAAATGAGATCGCAAAGATCCAAGTTTGCCCAGAAAAAGGTTGCTGGAGTAGTTGTTTAGGCAAATTGGCCAAGAGAAGAGAGGTCATGTTCATCTACACACAGAAAGATGTGCACCTGTCTCAAGAGGAATCTTTAATTTTAACTAACCAAATACTCACTCTACTACTATTTATGTTAGTTATCTTTTTGAATGCCAGAAAGCAATCGATTTGCTTCGTGTCATGTGTAGCAATATTATTTGAGGAAACTAGTAAAAATGTTGACAAAACCAGTTTTGAAACGAGGTGATGTTGATTCTTTGTGTTGAGTAGATAAGATTAGAAGTCCCAAGTCACATCTCGTGCCTACAACTTGAAGCAATTCTTTGAATTTAGAGCAAGGGCAACGCAAAATATACGTTTTCATTTTTAGTTCTTTAAATGATCATGAGATGACTAGCGTCATCATACGTCAATGGAAGAAGACATAAACAAGCCAAAATCCTTAGGGTTCCTCTGACTCTGAGCCTAAATAGACTGCAACTTACAAGAAAATAGAAAAACAAGTTAAATTATGTGTCGTATTCTGTTTGATTTTTGATTGTTTAAAAGGCAATTCCTTGGTTTAGTAGTGTGTTTTCGGCATTAGAAAAGAGAGCAGAAATTAATGAAAACAGGAAGGAGCAATCATTTTCTAATGTTTAAACAAATGGAAATGTGTATTGACAATTCAGAGTCAGAGAAAGAAATGAATATGCGGATCCACAAGAGTACAGTTGAGTAAAATACATATGCTTTACTATCAAAAGGGACCACGGTGTTGTTTGATGAGGAAGGACACATTTGGGATTATGTAAAAATGTGTAGTTAAAACCATTTGAGAGAGGTGGTAAACAAAAGAAGACAAAACAATATTCACAGTTAGGTAAGAGAGTAGACCCACACACACGTGTACTAAGTGGTCCATGTTAATGTATCGTATAGGCTAGAGCTAGAGCAAGAGCAAGAGAGAATTTTGTTGGTTTAGTTAAGGTCAGCATCTCAATCATGGATGCATTATTTAGGTGGACAGACTCATCTTTACCACTTAAAAATTCATATATATATTATTTCTCTCAAGATGGGAAAAAAACACGAAATAAAACAAAAATCTCTCACTCAACGTCCTTCGGTGGGAAATCTTTCTCCTTTTCTACTTTCTTCACTCGCCACTCAATTTCCTATTCTTTTATTCTAGAGTCACCAGTCAATTTGAAGAAAAAACCAACAACGAAACGCGTTATCAAACTCAATCTCTTCACACTTCCATTGTGTGTTTGTGGGGCAGAGAGACGGAGAGGGAGATTTATAGTGTTAGGTTGTCTATCTCTTAATTAATTGTTTTTCCAGGCAGCCCTCACCAGCATTCAACTAATTACTTCTTCCCTTCCTGCCCCTGCCAAAAGAGGCAAGCTTACTTTCCTCATTCTATTTAACTCGAATGGGAAGATGGGTGTTTCCTTAGTAGCCTACTTCTGAAGAAGAATGAAAGGTAACACTAAAAGAGTTGCCCATAATCAATGGAGCGGTTCACATGTAATTAGTCTAGCCCAGTCAACAAGTCACCAACAAAGTAGTGTCTCCTTCACGTACCCACCACAGATGGTCCCAATTATCAATCATGTGATTCATGAACATCAAATTCGACTCAACCATTCGACCATGCCAACTCAAAACTAAGAGAAATTCGGATTCAAAACCCGAGCAAACACATCATGAGCTGCATATATTCATCTGCCTTTGCTAAGTCAGATCACTTACAAATTATTCAAAATTATATTTTCAACAAAAAGCCAGAATTATAACACCTCCTGTAAACTTTTGATAAACAAATGGCTGGAGAACCAATTTATTAACAAAATGTGACATAGCTTCAGGTAATAATACTTGAAGAGTTAAATTAACCCACTTACAAATTATACAACAGAAAACAAAAAAAAACAAAAAAGCAACTGATTGACAAAGAATAAAGACACATTTCTTGGAAAAAAAAAAAAAAAATTGTAATTTCCGACTTTCTATTTCGAAGCTACAACTTCCAACTTGGCAAAGGAAAGATCAAATTAAATTAATGCTACATGAACAAATTCATTCAGCAGGCTGAACTCACAGGTTTTCCCACATTTTGAACGAATTTGTAAGTACTCATCAGACTCCCTGTATCATAAGATCACACTTAAGGCCGCTATAATTCACTGTTAGCTCTGTGGACTAGTGACCAGTATACAATGGATCCAGACAGAAAACTAAATAACCTCCAATGTGTCACTATGCATTTGCGAGTTTATGGGAGCGGAAGAACAATTTTCCTGAAGTCAGAAAACAGGTATCTGAAGCGCACTCTTAATTTGAATCTTACCACTTGAATCATGGAAACATTACGAGGAGATGTGTATTGGTCCTGACGTTAATTCTGGATCAAATAACCAAAACCCCCAAGAGAAACTGAAGGGATTTAGTATTGTGAGAAAGCTCCATATTCCCATTATGAACAACTTTTAAACAATTGTTAGAGCTCACAAAATGCAAATATAACTGAGGAGGGAAGGCTAGTCACTGTCACTACCATATCTTTCTGAAATCAAGGAAAAATAAATAAAATATATTAATTAAGAAGCTTTAGCAACAAAAGTACCTAATACAGAGAGAGAAAGGGAGAGAGATGATATACCTCCTGATGGTCTTTTTCCTTCCATAGCTTCTCTCTTCTCTTGGCAGCTTAAACATAGGAAAGGGCCATCCCAGGGACGCAGCTTCCCTGAATTAGATGAACCAGCATGTATTGAAACACCCTCTTCAGGTTTCACCTCCACTTGACAGACTGCACACATAAACAACTTAAACATGTTGCATAGCGGGTATTTTGTATCCAACCTGCACCCACAAAAACATGCCTTTTGTTACAAGCTACAAACTACCACAACCACTCCTAAAGCACAGGCAGTTGTGCCAACTCTAATTATGTAATTTCACTGACAAAACAGTAAATTACATTTAAGCAATGAAGAGAAACATTCGTCATATGAAGCCCTATTATGGAGAAACAACTTTAGATAATTTGATGATATCCACAGCACAAACCTTTCTGAAAGCATAGCAGATCCTTCCTCAAACAATTCCTCCACTACATCTGGCTCAACATATTCTTTGTCCACAGTGGAAGTTGATTCAGAGGACTTTCTGCGAAACATTGACTTAAGCACTCCTTTGACCTGCTTCTTTGGTTGGGGCACAGGAGCTGCTGGCTTCTCCTGTGGTAACATATCAATCACGATGCAGGTTGTATCATCTCGAAGCCCCTTTGCATGTAAAGCTTCCTGCACAAGAAAATGATAGTTGGATAAACAAAAAAAAGTAAGCATAAACACTAGAATCTGGAGAATGTCAAAGCTAAAAATGCCAGAGAGGTTTAGTGCAAGGGTCACTGCTGTAGTTTTCATTATCGCCAAGCAGACTGAAGAGGTAATTTTCAGAAAATACTTAGTATTTACATACTTTGACAATTTGTGCAGCTGCAGCTTCTGCTGGCATCCCACGACAACAATCAAGAGCCATTTCCGCTGATAAATTATCCCAAACACCATCACTTGATATTATAAGTCTACCACCAGCTGTAGACAACTGCAAAAAAGAAAATAAAATTTATTAAGGAAAAGAGAAAACTTGAAGAAAGCAATTTTACCAACCTCCAGATATTTCCTGACAGACATTTCAGAGGACTCAATACCAAGGTTTATAATTTATCCTCCCCTAGAAATCCACACTCAAATATTCCCATCTCTTTATATGAATAATAGTCTTAGTTTACACCTCCAGGAAAAAAATTAGCAGTTCAACTTCTAAACGTAAGTTGTTCAAGTAACAATACCAGAGAAATGGTAAATGGTGATGACTACAAAAAGAGCTACAATGTTCTGAATTCACCGCTGTTGTCATCTAAATATGTACTTAACCTTATTTTTTCCTGACCATACTTGTATAAGAATACTACAAATAATAGATCAGTCCCTATTGAATTCAGCTACAAGCCCTAGCTGGCAAAAGTAGAACTAACTTGCACATAATAGGGGAACTAAAACCTTTACAATTGGATCCAAAGTGGCAAAAGATTGAAATCCTCAAAACAGTAAGTTTCTTCTTAGATCCCTCTCAATATCTTTCTTGGAAAAAAAGAGCTTGAAATTGTGACAGACATCAAGGAAATCCATCATTTAAGAAGTTTATACTACAAACTCCTATCAAATATGTTAGAATGAAAAATGAAAAATTGAATTATTTATATTCATTCTTTTGGCCCCAGATCTACAAGTACAACCAAAAGTTACAACAATAATGCTCAGAACAGGGATGTACCAAAAGTTCTTCATAGAAACTAATATGCTTAAAAATAATCCTGAAACTCAGACTGGACAGGTGCAAAATTCCAACAAATACGAAGGTAAGGAAAAACACATGAAATCCTCCAACCATATTCAAGGCTACAAGGGGGAGCAAAAAATGTAATCAAGATTGCTGCAATCCATCAATTATAGTGTACAGATAACAACATGAAGAACAAACCTTCACTTGCTTTACATAAGGAACAGGAACAATGAACTCGCCAACATCCATATCTCCAATAGATCGTGAAAGACATAAACCGCCAGGCCAACATCTCAAAGGACCAATCTACAGATGAATTAGAACTTTAGTTAAACAGCCTTCGTATCTATAGAATTTTATCAGAAAACATTTTGCTTATGAACATGTGAATAATTCCAATTAATGGAAACCGATCTGTAGCTATATGGGCAGGAAATAGGCATAATCAATTTGAACTTTTCTCCAAAAAATATGATTATTTAAGGGTCTATTGATATAGATGAGTAGGCCAGCATGTAGTTAAAATCTTATTTTCAAGTCTGGTAGCTACATCAATTTGAGCTATGTCCAGATATAATACTTTAGAGCATAATTCTAATGTGAAGAACAATACCTCAGCACCACCACCAGCATTGAGCCGACCCACTTCACCCCCACTAGCAGTGATGCGATCCCTCCTAAAAATATAGATGAAAATAAGAAATTAAAGCCTTAATTGTCAAGGGCAACTGTTATGTGTGTCATGAAACATTATATAAATAGCTTACTCCTCTTCATTGCATTCAAGCCTATGATCTGCTGACAGGTAATAGATATCACCTTCAGCAGATTCAAGTATACAACGGGAATCACCAACAGATGCAACAGTTATAACCCAACCTTCTATAATCACAAAAGTGACAGTTGTTCCTGATGTCCGTGCTGAGAAGGTAAGCCATAAATAGTATAAATATCATGTATGCAACTTATAGCATAAAGCAAAATAGTATATATATAAAAGAAAATAAAAAGAAAGGCCTTTTACACTAACCAGACACCAAAATAGATGCAACTATATCATGTAAAGATCACAGAAGTATGAACTTAGCAGATTTCAATGCAAAAGTGGATTTTCAAAACTGCACGTCCAAGTAAAGAGCTCCAAATAAATAGTCAATTCAGATGTATAAACCATCATNTTAAAGCCTTAATTGTCAAGGGCAACTGTTATGTGTGTCATGAAACATTATATAAATAGCTTACTCCTCTTCATTGCATTCAAGCCTATGATCTGCTGACAGGTAATAGATATCACCTTCAGCAGATTCAAGTATACAACGGGAATCACCAACAGATGCAACAGTTATAACCCAACCTTCTATAATCACAAAAGTGACAGTTGTTCCTGATGTCCGTGCTGAGAAGGTAAGCCATAAATAGTATAAATATCATGTATGCAACTTATAGCATAAAGCAAAATAGTATATATATAAAAGAAAATAAAAAGAAAGGCCTTTTACACTAACCAGACACCAAAATAGATGCAACTATATCATGTAAAGATCACAGAAGTATGAACCTAGCAGATTTCAATGCAAAAGTGGATTTTCAAAACTGCACGTCCAAGTAAAGAGCTCCAAATAAATAGTCAATTCAGATGTATAAACCATCATAACCACGAGTGGTTTACAGAGTAACCTAATGAGCTATATTAATCTTATTACATCCACATCAAATCTGGGTTGACATCTAATGCCATCTAAACTAATATACCAAAAATCGACCAATAAATTTGCACACATTCTATAAGGAAGTAATATATGAAAACTGCATAATCATCTAAACAAGGCCATGGTCAATAACAGTGGTCAAAACTTTCTTTTTATCACAATATTGTCATACGGACAATTGCCCTAATGACATCTTTTAGATAGATTATAGATAGCGCTTAATGTTGAATGGATATTACAAGAAAGCCATTGAAAATCCCCCTGAAGTTGAATGTATATTAACACCTAGGTTTTGTATACATGTCCGAAATGTTTAGTTTTAAAATTTTGCGATAACATATATTGGATTTGCACTGGTTTTCAAATCCATGATTGTAACAATAGTGAAGGTGATTGTTTATCAAGGGTGTGTGACAGAGGCTACAATGTGACTCACAAACATATCAGCATAAGTATGTTGGCATGAATGAGCATGTGAATGCATTATTGTGCATCAGCGCAGAAGCATTATCCTGATTAATAATAAAAAACTGCAGCGCCCAACCTTAAGTTAAAAGTCCTATATAAAACAAACTTTGGAGTTCCGCTCAAATGTGAGGTACAAATATATGTACCTTGTTTGATCGAGAGTTTACTGCAGAACACATATTATGATCAAATATACTACTCTTACCTTTCTCTTGAAAATCTTTATCTGTTTTAACAAAGCCCGCAACCATGGCTCTTGGAAGCGCTGCTATCCATTCATCTCGGTTAAGCTCTGAAGGAATAGCACTTAAAACATTTTTTAGAAGATTCTCCTTCGTGTAAATAGCGGCTGCAGATCCATTATGTCCATCAAATAGCTGCAAAACATGGTATAGAGATAAATTTCTATTATAAGTTATAGGCAAGAATAAAATAATAATTAATAAAAGCTACAGATAGATTAGGCAGAACAAAGAAAAAGATACCAAAAACTATATTGACCATAGCTAAGAAGCAGTATCACTTGCAGTTACCTCGATTAACTTTCACAAGATCCAGAAAATCCTCACCCAGGAAAAATAGAAAAGGTAACTAGACCTATCTAAGCATGACTAGTGATCCCTATCATTCATGTATCCAGAAAATCCTCACCCAGGAAAAATAGAAAAGGTAACTAGACCTACCTATGCATGACTAATGATCCCTAGCCTTCATGTATTCAAGCCTTGTGTTTCCCATCATGTAATTGAATTCTAGAACATTTAATAACTCCAATGTATCTCATCTATCACGTATCAAACATGTATTCCTATACATCAGCTTTAAATATGTGAAATGTAAACTTTTAAGTCAAGCCATTCCAACAAAAATCAACTTATTTTCCATCCAAAATTAAAGAATTTATAAATTTCATATTAGCACAAATTCATCGAATTGAAGGATGTTGAAAACAATACCCCATATACAGAAAATGTGGTGACTCCATCACCCATTGCTCTTTGGCATTCATTTTTAAGCAGTGTAAAGTCCTCTCCTTTCTTGCTTTGACTAGCCTGACCATGTACAATATCTGGTTTCTCTATCTTCTCATTGGCCAGTTCCCGCTTTAGCAGAACCGAAAGAGGGACCGTGTGATGATCGTGCTTGCCCGACATTGCTTAGCTATTCAATTTTTAACAATAACAGCTTCTTCCTGGGAGAATGTATCCACTTCGCTACTTGTCCATACCTAATCATCAATCCAAGCATTTCCAAAAACAGATCATCAGATTCGCCGCTGGGACGGACATGACTAAGCCACTAAGGCAAGATCATTGACAGTTAAACGAATAAATCCAAATCAGAAGAGAAAAAAAATTAAAAAAGAAAAATCAACATCAATGGCGATCATTAGAGAACAAAAAAAGAATTAGAACGCTCCAACAATGATACGAATCGAAAAATCAGAAAGAGAATTTACAAGGAGAGAAACAATCGTAGGCAAATGCGATGGCGATTACGCGCGAAGAGAAAAATAAGAGATGTTGAAATAGATGAGTTGCTGTGATCCGGCCTTGTGCAGAAATTCCATTGTTGACACGAGACAAAACTAAACAATTTTTAGCGCAATTGAAGCTGGTATTCTCAAATTTTCCTTTTTTATTTGCCGTTTTTGATTTTCACTGACATGACAAAAACGCAACGCAGCGTTCTTTTAGTTCGGCGCCCGTTTTTAAGCCGCTGTCATACAGCTTGTAGGCGCTTTCTCAACCGTTGGATTGAAGGGTGGGTCCCACATTAGCCAATTTATAAATGAAACCGATTGGTTGGATTGAATTGAGACAAAGATACATAATAATTTATTCCTATTTCTGGGGTGGCGCCGGTTAAGGGAAGTGACGCGGGATTAGGAAAATCTAGAAGGGACAATAAAAATTAATGTGACCTAGTCAAATATTAATCCTTAGGAGACGGAGAGACATGCAAAAATATAAAACCCTTTTTAGCCGGTTATTAAATTCCTTAATTAAATAAGTTAACAAACAATCAAGTTGTTAATGTCACGTAGTTGTGATCCGTCAAATCCCGTTTAAATGGTGGGGTCTTATGGGCCCTAACCCCAGGGGCAAACCCTTTTTTTCTCAAGTCTTTTTGAAACCTAACCCTCTGACCTTCCAGTTGGAAGACCGCGGAATTCTCGGCGCCAGTTATTCTTAAAGAAAGAACTGATAATCACCACGTGCAGTTAACGCGAGTGGACAACTATTATCGAATCAAAGAGTACTAAGATTGGAGCGTGACAAAAAATTAAAAAGGCGCGTATAAAACTAAACATCTGCTGAAAGGGAGGTTATCAGACAAACTCCGCGTAAAATAACTAAATTAAGTTGATAACTGATAAGCATCAGCTCTAGCTTAGCTAAGAAAAAATAAGTGGAGCCCACAAAGGAGGAACAAAATCGGGGGTCCAGATTTCTGGGGATGTAATTGAAATTTGGTTAAGGTAAGTTCAAGGCATGTTCCAATATAGAAGAAGAATGCAAGCTGGAAACAAGGGTCCAGCTCCAGCTCGGTTTACATATAGGAGCAGCAAGTGTTGCTATCAACAACTGCTGGTTACTGATTACAGCTCACCACATCCCATTAACCAGGGCAGCGCAGTTTAGTCATTGCACCCCACAAAGATTTTATATTAATAATATTGGTCGCCAAGGGAAAAAAGGTGGAACTGATATGGGTTGCTGTCATTGAGTGCAAACTTTTGACAAACAACTATCAGTATCACCAATTATTATCACATTTTCACATCTACCTTGCTTTGCTGCTTAGTGGTTTTCATTCTGGATCATGGTCATGAACACTTGCTCCATCCCACCACCCTTTTAGCCTTCAAGGCTTGTTCAGCTTTTGCTCTTGCCATTTAGTTGTCTCCAACTCTCCATAGAAGAAACAAAACATAAATACAACATGGAAACAGAGAAACTAAGGGATTTAATTAGCAGCAGCATACATGAGACCGTTGAGCTCATTGGTTCTTGTAAATTAATGAACTGGGGGAGTTGTAGCATGTGTCTTTCACGAACATATTACACATCTAAATCAGGGTCTTGGATGATATCAGCAAAATCAACAAAAATTATATCAGACCCTTTGTCAATGTTAGACAAGTCAATGACTCTGAACACGGGGGCGACTACTTTTCTGACTCTAAGATTAATACTGGACAAAACTCAAGGCAAGATGGATTGACTACTACTGTCTGTTTACCTGCAATAAAGATAAATAAACAAAAGCAATTCAATGCTGGAGTGTCGGAAACAAATAATTATAAGATGAAAAGAGTCATATTAAACAAAGGAAGCATGCATGATAGTGATGAACATGAAACAAATAATCTGTAGATCATATCATTAAAGAGCATCCATGTAAAAGCACTATGCATAAAGAAAATTGGACCAGGAAAGCGCTGACGCAGGGGGTTTAGGTCGGAAACTTCACTATTTTCCATCATCACAATCACACCAATAACAAGGCCCCAGCCTTGGACCCTTAGGTTTTTTTATCAATAAATGTTTATTCATGGAGTAGCTAATAAACTAAGATCATCCTTTCTCAAATACGACAAAGTCTAGTTGTCAATACACATGTCAAATAAATATCACATTGATCATAAATGAAATAATATAAATGACTAAATATGATTTGAATAAGGAAAAGTATCATTAACTAAAGCATCCTATCAAGTATCACTTGGTCCATATAAAAGACAATGAAATCTTTGAAACCTTCAATAGAGCTCCAATTTATGATAGCACACTGTGCAAACCAAACATTAACAATGGAGTGTTGAGAAAAGTTTGGATATTTTCATGGTTACGAATTTGGTCATTTATATCATGTTAGGTACTAACCCCCAAGATTAACAATATACATAATAAACATATTCACAATTTAGAGGACATCATCAATATTCATTATAGATGGCTGTAAGGCCATCCCTGTTATGTTAATTAATTTGAACTAATTAAAACAGGATAAAATGAGTCAAACATTTTAGGTATATATTATTCCAAAGGCGTAACCTGAATTGAATGGACAGGCTTTGATATCCAACTCCCTAAGACTCAGAGCTTGACAGAGTGTTCCTCTGTTCAGAACCATTCACCCTTATAATGTACACCTGTAAAATGAAATATGGAAAATACAATGTCGAACAACCCAATTTAAAATTTAAGAAACAGATTATTCACATAAGATATAGACAACACAAGATTATACAAAAGAGTTGGTAGTCTACACCTTTTAGTGCATAGAAAAAAAAAATCCATAAGCAGATTTGAACTGTGAAGTCTGAATTTAGTTTAAAGATTACCTTGAATGTTGTATGCTGAATTAACTGAAAAACTAAGGCATCCCCATCTACCAAGCTATGAGCGACTGCAAATCCTTTCCATCCACCACTCAGTCCTGTTTTTCTGGCCAAATATATTGTTGGATACTCATTATCATCTTCATCTATCAAAGTCATAACTTCATCACCCTTAGGAAGGTTCTCCTTGCAGAAGTACCTTGGAAGGCCCTGTTGTAAAAATTCCCAATATGATTCCTAGCATTGCTATTTTGTCAATTTTAACTTCAACCCTTATTTCCAAAAGAATCATCAGTTATGAATCTAAGATTCTACTCAAGATTGAATCTTCTATAATTCTATTTGAAACTTGACTACTAGCAGGCTAGCAGCTATCAATAAACTTGAATATCTCAAACTCCAAATAAGTGACCTCTAGGGGAACTCCACCTAATGCAGCATTACTTTGTTACCAATTTATGAATTGTAATGAAACAACTAAAACAGTAAATTAATACAGAGAAAAGAACATCGGGAACCAATAACAGCAGCATGCCTACCAGCCAAAATCCACCAGTAACATGCGATTGAAGCATGGACTTGATAAAAATTGGATAATCTGACTCTAAACTCGATTCCAACTTCTCTGCTTTTTCGATTGCCGCTGATCTGGCTTCATCTGAGGCATATACGCGGTTGGACAAATCCCTGCGTTTAAAAACTCTGCACCTCCCACTAAACTGTTAAAGCTTTGCAAAATCAAACATAAAATCAAAAGTTTTTATAAGAGTACCTTCTAGGTATCTCCATGCGAACGGGTTCAACCTGTGGAAAATTCATACATTTCAATGGTTAATTACTTTTTGATAATTTACATGGACTAAGTTTTCAAAATAGATGAAGAAATGCGAGGGTTACATCATTGTAAACAGGGGCAGCCTTGTTGGCCAGGCGATTTGAGCGCCTCACAACCACCATTTGCTTCTCTACCATACGAAGTTTCACCTTTTTCGTCTTTGGATTAAGCAAACCCATAGTGAGATACTTAACTATAAAAAAAAGAAAAATACACACACACACACACACACACACACACTTGCATTGTCCCTGTTTAATCTTTATATAATATTGTATGAATGCAAAGAGATGCTTCAGGTATGCGATTACCGGAGAGGGCTTCAAAGAGTTAGAGGGGGTTTTCCGGAGAGCTTGAGAGAGCTGGGGGAGATTGAGAGCTTCCATTCGTTTCTTATTTTCCTCCAGTCTTTTGAGACGATATTCCTCATATGATGGCTTGCCCATCACCATTTTCTCGAGAATCAAACAGAAAATTTTAAAGGTTTAATGCTGTAAACTATTTTCCAAAGAAAATGGCTTGAGAGCTCCGTGGCAACCAGCGAGGTTAAAAGTGTTCTAAGTCCCAGTCCCAGACAGGCAACCGTTGTTTTCCCACTTATTTGAGCAGTGATAGTGTTACTGGTGAGGACTCGGTTACCTCACAGGTGGAATCTGATTGGATGCAACACGTATTTGTATTTTCTTTTCAATTTTTTTAATTCATTTAACAACAGATACCTCTTCTCCAGGCTTGATGTTTTCTCCCAATAAAACATCAGTTTAAATTCAAATTTTCAAATGAAGACAGAAGACTTCAGATACTGCACGCGTCGGATAGTCCATAATTAATGACGATCTTTCTTTCACTATTTTGTTGGTCCCAATAAATTAAAACATAAAAGATAAAACTTATAAATTGCCAAATAAAAAGCCACCACCAAAAAGTAATATTTGCGCATCAGTAATCAATAGATAAAATTTAAAGGATCTAAACTTTTCTTTGTACACGACTCAAAGAAATATTATTTATGATACATTAATCCTTTCCTTCCAGTGAGCAACATGGGGATGGCATCAAATTATCAAGACAATGATAACATCTCTGGTTAATCTTGTAGACCGGCGGTAGAACAACATGAAATCGACCAAAGGTTTATTCACCATTCAGTATTTTATGGCGCCTAAGCTCTTCAACCAGGGAAGCATCTCCTCTAGTCCGTCTTTCAAGCTACGAGGGTCATAACCCAACTCTGCTTTAGCCTTCTCACAAGAATACGCCCACTGATGTCTTAAAACATGCACAGTCTGCTCAAAAATAATCACTGTAAGCATACTAAAAATACAACATGTAGAGATAAAATAAAATGTTAATGAAACACACTGATCAGTTACACATAATGAGATCAACACGGCACCATTTTGCACCTCAAACTAAAAAGTTTAGGTGGAAGATGGGAGAGGGGTTGCAGAAATCATTATACTGATTATATGTTATTTAGCGCTACTGCAGTTAATAAAAAAACCATCATCATTTTGAAAGAAAAAGAAATCATAAAAAAATTATGAGCCAATAATTTCTCTCAACGAATTGAATAGTGAATATGATGGTCAACTTAGCACAAAAAAAGTTGCATCTCCAACCAAATAACATGAAGGAACCAGAAACATACTGGGTAACTGATGAGAGGAAGCTTTCCAGTGATTCGAGAAAAGAAAACTGACACCCATCCATAAGCCTCAATCAACCATAGGGGTATGCTAAATCTAGGCCTTTTTGTTCCAGTGATGACAGCAGCCATGTCGAAAACATGCATGAATGATGCGTTTTCTCCTGTTAGTAGATATCTTTCTCCAGGTCTACCTTTGTCCATTGCTGCAATTTGACCTTCTACAACATCATCAACATGGCAGAAGGAAAATTTATCCTTTCCGTAGCCTATGTAGCCAGGTAAGCGTCCATTAAAACGTTCAATCATCTGAAAGGACAAGGCGTTAAAATCACATCAAGAATATGAATTCTGTAGAGGCTAACAAAACAGGTGGTACAGATACAGACTAGGTAAAATGGAGGGATATCATGAAATGATAATCCCCATCATGAATAATAATACCATCCTACTCTGTTCCAAGAGGTAGAAAAAATTTACAGAACAAGCAAAAAGGACGAAAAAAACATGGATCACCATATAATTTTCAGATTAACTGTAACAGCCATTATTATAAATAAATCAAAAGCTCATGCTCTATGATTCCTGGAACTTGATAATTTTCCTTATTCAAAGAAGTTTTGATAGGGTAGATCAAAAGAATCCTTTAAGTTCCAGAATAAGGGATCTTCAGAAGCCCTTGAAATTCATATCATACATTCAAGTAACAATTTCTTTTAAAGAAATAAACTAGCTGCGCCACACATGTTGGCACAAGAACAAGATAAATTGTCGATTAGAGCTAACAAATGCAGCTTCGAAATCAAAGAACACATGAAGAAACGTTAAAGAAAGAAAAATCTTACCAATTGGGCAACCATGTTACCCGCGGTGAGCTTACCCGAACCATAGATAACACCTGGATAAACCAGGACTATTGGTAACCCCTCTGCTGCAGCTTGCAAAGCTATCTTATCAGCATCAGCCTTAGACCTCTCATACTCCGTACAGAAATACTTTCCCGGATGAATCTGCCATTGAATAACATTTAGCATCATCAATCACGTCAAATCAATTAATTCATCAGTCAATTACTATGTTAAATGCTTGTACTTGATTCTCATCGGCAACATATCCATCCGTTGATCCAAGAGCAAAGAACGACGAAGTGTAGATAATCTTTTCGATCGTTTTGGTCTCCTTAGCCGCTTGCACTATGTTCTTCAATCCTCCTACGTTAACCTAATACGATAACAATATCAACAATAATAACGTTTCCCATGCTTCAATTCAATTAATTGTATGTAGAAATCCGTGTTCGAATATGGTAGTTAAGGGTCAGCTCATCTTACAGAGAAGAATTTAGAAGGATCGGGAAGCCAAGGCTCGACAACGGCGGCCACGTGGAAGATGACTTGGCAACCGGAGCAAGCATCCAGAAGTGACCGGTAGTCGGTGACATCACCATAGGCAAACTCGAAAGATCCGTCTCCTATGGGCGACGGAAGGCCAGAGATGTCGCTGGTGCGGCGCACCAAGGCTCGCACTGAGTGGCCTAGACTGAGAAGTCTGTGGCACAGTCTTCCCCCCAAATAACCGGACCCGCCAGTCAGCAGTATCTTCATAGTCAAGGATTTATGGGTCTATGCCAAGATTTCTGTACCACTAAAATGGTGAAATGTTTTGGATTAAAAGGTATACATAAAATTAAGAAATCATATTGATATTAAATCAATACTATTATGAATATTTATTTTGTTAACATAAATAATGAGTTGACAATAGAAGAATAAAGATGAAGATAGAATGACTTACTTTGCACATGTTCAATCAAATTAAATAATGGTAATGGGTATAAATTAGAGAAGAAATCAGCGGAAATCATGAATAGATAATGCCTCGCAAAATAAGGAATGTAATAACTCCCTTATTAATTGCTGGATAATCATTGACACGCAAGACTCTTTTAAGCACCTACCTTCGTATTATTTTTAACTAAAATCCTATACGTAGCTTTTGTGTCCCTTCATGGATATTTCACACTAACAAATCCTAAACTCAAATTTTTAATCACTCTCAATTAACAAGAAGAAAATTCATATATGGACTAATGGAAGTGGTAGCAACCATAGTGGCATGCCAAATTGTGGCTAACTGCGCAACCCGAAATCGTAGTTGATTATGATCAATAGGCTCAACTACAGTGATATACTGAACAACAGGTACAACGCTTAGATCATGGTCGGGTCACGACTAGATCAAGATGGTCATGGTTGATGGTTGAGGTAACGCCTTATTTCAATATTTTCTACCATATACGTTGTTTTTTATTCACTTAGTTATTATTATTGCTATTAGTACGTATTTTTTATTTTACTAATAAAAACAAATGAGTATATTTTGTATAAGGGTATTATTTCTTATTACTATGATTTTTGTAAAGTAGTAGTTTTAGCAGTTTTACTAACGTTTACTTTGGAGATATCAGTGACCGTGTATATTTCACGGCCACGGTCCAAGTCAAGCGAATGTTTTAAACTTTTAATTTCTCATGAATATATAGCAAGAGTATAACAATTTAACTTAACATTTGGTGGTGTCCGTCTCCATGGTTTTTTCCCTCTTGCAAATTACTGGATTTACATTCTAACTTCCACTTGTTTCCGTGACAATGATCTCCAACCCATCCTGTATCAAGTCAGAGCTTTTCAACTAAAGACTGTACATTCAGTTAGAATAGAGGCCCAAGCCATCGTAGTGTTCATATTGTCCTACAGAAACACCACATCAGAATGACCACCACTTTTCAAATGCCCATGTCTTCATTTTTATTCTCAGGAAATTCATGTTGCTGGGGGCTAGGATCACTCAGCATTGCTGCTAAGTGACATACAATATATGGATTCTGCCCATTTATCTCTGCCATAACTTGTCAGTGAAACATTATAATCTAGAGCGACGTATACATTTGATCGGATTAAACGGGGCATGCCTCCTTGTAGAAGCATATGGGCGTCCATTCAAGGAATCCGATGACCTTATATCCCAGCCTTCAACGTTTTTGGGAACACAAACATCAAAAAGAATTTGACCAAGAACTCCATGAGCATTAATGCTTGGTCGATTTGGCAGATGAATTAACCCCTCCTTGCGTTCATCTGGCACGGACCCAACATCTCTACCGTCATAATACTCCATTGAGCTGGGCATGAGGAAATGGTCAGTTGGCACAAGAGAAGTTCCCGGAAAACTTTGGGTTGGGCTGAGTGCTGCTTTCCTCAGGTTGTATATGGGATTTGACATCTCATTGTGTGTTCCCTCCAGGCCCATTCTTTCTCCTTCAAGTCTTTGAATCCGTTGGGAATAAACTGCAGCTGCCTTACCAAGGAGCTCAGTCACAGCAGCCTTATAGTCAATTGGATAATGCCGATAATGGCCTGTTACAAATAGTGGTATTAAATTAAATGAACAAGACTGAAATATATGGATGACATAATCTGCAGGAATATTTCTAAACAAAACTAGACATCAACAATCTAGGATAGACATAAGACAATGACTACAATTAAGCCTATCATTAAGTCAAGACTACATATATACGCCATAGCCATTTTATACACACTCGTTACAAAATCCCAAACTAAATAAAATGTTTTTTTAAAGTTTTCTATACACAAAACAGGCATCCCCTCCATAAAATTGGTTTGTTCAGGCACTAAAACAAATAAAGAAAAACTTTAACACAATTAGTATATTCTCCAGGAATCGCCAATATATCAATGGCCTAGGAAAGGTGTATTCACAATTTTTTTTTTCTGAAATGTAAACATCAAGGACAGAACATAATACTCTGAAAGTGTAAACCCTCAGCAAACAGCATTACATATAACCCTCCATTTGGTTTCAATAATATAACCTCACAATCAAAGCACCCCAAAAGAAGTTTCAGCAGGAGATATCACACACGCCATGATCATCATCAAACGTGATGGAAAAAAAGTTTAGAAACACACCTACATGAGAAGAGTCAATCCATTTCACAAGTTTTACATCTCCCCCAAGTTCTCGTATTCGTTGAGCGAAATTATGGATAACTTGGTAAGGAGCAAGATCATCATTTTCTGAGCACAAAATGAGATATGGAGCGCCCATTCTCTGCATAAGAATGATAATGAATAAAATAGAAGAGAGGGAAGAGAAAGCTTTTGATAGCAAGTAATCTGTTATCTACTTACAACAGAAGAGTATAGAGTCTGCCAATATTCAGCTCGATGAGATTCAAACCTATTAAGGAAGAGGGAATCAAGCCCAGAAGCAATACCATTTGCTATCCACGAGACTAATCTTGGTGGATGAGACATATTGAGAACGGTCGGGTGAACAATAAATCGAGCACCCATGTCACTAGTAAAATCCACTGGACTAGAATCATAGATATAGCCCGACAAACAGTCCCTAACCAGTTGGTGGTCGTCCTTCACCACAAAAATACAGGAGGAAAGAAAATAAATTTAAAATAATAAAAAAAAGAGTAAATCCACCTATGAAGAATATAAAAACTATCTAGCAATAACAAATTTAAGAGAGAAAAAAATTAATAACATACTGGATTCACTTTTGCTTCACATATACCCTCGATTATCTGCAAAAGAGGAAAAAAGAATTAACTTCATAGCTACACCAAAGATGTTTAAAGCATAATGCACAGGTTTGCCCTATGCAAAGACAACAAAGAAAACCAATTTCACATCCAAGCACAGCAATGTGATCCCAAAACTTTGGAAATGATTACCTGGAGAACCTTATACATGCAGGATTTTGGACCACCAGAAAAAGATGCAAAGACAACAGGGCATGGTCCAACCTTTAGTTCCTGCTTGCCACAAAATAAAACAAATAGAGATTAAATAGCCCATTAAATGTATGAACCTATTGAAGAAATTTCAAGCTAGAGAAGTAATAAAGATTAATTTTTACAAAGTTTCAACCAAAATGAAAAATACCAATTAAGTTAATCAATTATTAAAATTTCACATATCACAGCTCGGAGAAAAATAATAGCACTTACCTCAACAAGTTCTTTGAGAAGGTCAAATGCTAGTGCTTCAGCCTTCTCAGGAAAGAACCTGCATATAATTCAGTCATTAAACTCCATTACAATATTATTTTGTCATATGTGCATAAAAGAGAGCTAATCCCACGCACGCCATAGTTCAAGATGCACTGACCAAACCAATAAAACATGACAGCTAGATAATAAGAAGTAAATTACCCAATCAACACAAATATCAATACGCACATATCGAAATAAAAACTACAATCCTAACAATCCATCATGATCACGAAGAGTTAAGCAATCAAAAAACACCAAAAAAAGATAACCACAAACACTTAATTCGGATCTAATAGCGAAATTGAACTTACATATTGAGAAATTGAGAATGGCAAACAAGTGAATTCCATCCCAAAGATGAATAGAGCTGGACATAGCGATCCAGGTGTCTCTCTTCACTCGACATCCAAGCAAACACCACCACTATCCCTTCTCTTTTCCCTCCATTTTCCTTCCTTGCCCAGTAATACCTACCTCCAAATCCCCACATTTTTCTTCCTCCCTCCTAACAATTTCGATTCCTCCTCTTCACAGCTTCAATGCTTGATGCTTTAAGATGATTTATTTTCTCCAAAAACACAATTCGATTCAACCTATTCTATGGACGAGATTTTAAAGATATCATAAGGTTCCGGTTGGTTTTTCTGTCTGTCTGACGATTTTTTTGTTTTTGTTCTGTTTTTTAAGTTTTTATATCCGAGTGTAGATAGAAGTGAAAACTTGGTCGTCAGACAAAATGTAAACGAGATATTTTGGATCTTTACAATAACCCTAATGAATATGCCACGTTTCCTGTTGAGGTACAAAAGTAACCTCAAGAAATTTCTTTTAATGACAAAAATACCCCTTTTCGTGTCCTGTCATAGTCTTATTGGTTAAAATAAATATCCACTTAAATGCGATGACGGAAGATTAAGATTGCGTGAAGTCAATGTGAAGCGGCCGGTTGCAGGATAATTTCACAGTTGTAGTTTTGTAATTTTATCTGAAATTCAAACATTTAAGTTGCAAAATAGTTGCCGTGATGCTGTAAGAATAAAAGGGGTCTATCCAATATCTGACCTGGCAGGGTATGGTTAATTGACGTAACGAAACATAACTATTATAAGTGGAATCATGTATGTACCTTATTAATTAACTATTTTATGTCATATTATAAGCACCAAAATAACTTTACATTAAAATTTGTGCACATAGCCAAATGAGGCATCCCCTTGTCTGTGTGTATTGAACATCCCAATGCTACATGAAAAGAAGCGAATGCATTAAATTACTAGGAATACGAAGACATTACTCTGAGAATATAAGGCTGCGTTTTGGTTCACATATTTTAAAAAGTTTTCTAAAAAAAGTTAACCTTATTTCACCTATTTTTTAAATTGTTTTTTAAATTATTCAATTTTCGTTAATTCCTTAAATTTTTTAATTTAATTAAACAATCCCTAAAAAATACTTTAAAAATTAATAAAAATACCCCAATAACCTAAATTTACTAGATTCTGACCATCACTGTCAGAAGCTAGCCGAAATCTGGTGCAATGGTGTACTATCGGCTGAATCTAGTCGGTAGTGCACCGATTTAGTCTTTTTCGATCAAATCTATGTTGGATCTAGTTGGAAAATACCAGATCTACGGTTGGCCATAAACAGTCGTCAACTACGGCCAAGATATGGTCATCGTCGTTGACCATCAACGACGACCGTATCTTTGACCGTCGTTGACGACCAAATACGACCAGATCTGGCCAGAAAAGGTCATATCGGCGTATGACCGGTAAGATCGAGCCGATCATACGCCGATAAGGCAACTCTGGCTACCCTCCGGCGGTGGTGATCGGTTGTCCATATTTTTTAGTGGATTGAGAGTGTTTTTGTTAATTTTGAATATTTTATTATAGGGGTGTTTAGCAAATAAATAAACATAAGGGTATTTATGTTAATTTTCAAAATTCTATACCGTAATACCCACCTAATTTAACTTTTTTTTAAATATTATTCTAAAAACTACCCAATAATAAACCAAATGGAACCTAATGGAACCTAACACTCCCCCATACGACAATGAAGTGAAAGTTTTCCTTGTCCACTAGATTCTCCCAACAAGTGGAGTCCAAGCTTTAATTATTTGCTATATTTAAACATACACTTAAATTGCTTATTTATTAGTTAATGATTAATGAATTATTATCCATATTTTCAGTTATCCCAATTTTGTTTTTTTATCGAGTATGTCTAGGTCAGCTTACCCATACCTTGTCACAGCCCCGTCTTACCAGAGGTACGACTGGGTGAAGTTCACAAAGCACCAACCCACTCTTCGTGACTCACAAGGTACTAGCCCCTCCCCCCCCCCCCCCCCCCACTAATGGGATTGGTCTTGGGTTCGAATGGTGGGGGAGGGAATAAATCCTTTAAGGGGGGTACAGTACCTGTGAGTCACGAAGAGTGGGTTGGTGCTTTGTGAACTCCACCCGGCCGTGCCTCCGGTAAGACGGGACCGTGAACACCTCAACTAATTTTCTGAGATCCTATAACTATCGATCGAATAAGAACTTAACAACTATCTCTATTAGTGATCGAGGAGAAACTCAAACTTAAAACCTTTCTGAGATACAGTACCTTGGAGTCACGAAGAGTGGGTTGGTGCTTTGTGAACTCCACCGGCCGGCGTGCCTCAGGAAGACGGGCCGTGACACACCTCAACTAATTTTCTGAGATCCTGTAACTATCGATCGAATAGAACTTTAATAACTATCTCTATAGTGATCGAGGAGAGACTCAAACTTAAAACCTTTGAGTAATACTCAGGAGTCTCTATCGAATCACTCAACCATCACAAGTAGTTACCATAAACCTAAATTTGAAGTAAATATTTTCCTTTTGAGATTAAAAAAAAAAAATCCAACTTAATAACTAAGAATGAATTATTTGATTGGAATACGTTAATCTGTAGTATAAAAGCATATGTTAATATTTGTTATCCATCATTTAAAAAAATTAAAATAACTTATTAATAAAAAAAAAACTAAATGTTCTTAAATAGTTAACTTGCCATTTTTCTTGGATCACTTAACTCGTCATTTAAGGTGTATAATTAGATTGAAAAAACAAATAAATGAAACTATTTTTAAGATTCAATTATATTAATAGGATTTTTAATTAAGAAATAATAATATTCATTTTGATATATTTTTAAGTGAAAAACACAATGCAATTTTCAAACTTGCCTATTCCTTGAGATTGAGGTTGCCATTGAATAAATTCTTTTATATTTTATTTAGTCAAAACATTAACGGAGAGAAATCATAAAATTCAGTAATAATAATAATTAATCAATCAAAATAAAATTTAATAATAAATATTTTGATATAGTCACACTCAGGATATAGTAGAAATTTCAATTAGCAGAGAAATGAAATAAAAGAGTTAACCACTTTTTCCCAACTAAAAAATGGCTTAAAAACACTTTCTCACATTTAACTTTTAAAATACCACTTTCTCACCAAAAATAATAATAATAATAAAAAAAATAAAAAAAAATTATGTTAACAGTTTCCTTTAAATACAATAATTTTGATTGCAAAGACAGAAATACCCCACAAAATTTCAATCCCTAATCGCCGACCACAACAAATCAAACTTTCACGCACAATTTTAGTCAACTCTGACCACCATAATTTGACTTTCTACCACCAAACGAATCACTGACAATCCCTCTTCAATAGCCCTAACAATATGGATTGTGATATCTCTCCAATCGTCGGCGACCATGGTTTAGTTCTTTTGTTGAAAGGTTGACGTCCGATGAACTGTGAAAAACCAAGGTTTAGGATAATGGGGCTTTTAGAGAGGAGGTGTCGCTAATGCTACAGGTGGCTTCAAGTGGAATTTTTGCCAAGCAAATCGGCTAGAATCTGACCTAGAAGCTCAACGGTTGCGTGAACAAAAATCTAGCAGTGATCGACAATTAGTGTGCTTAGTGTGGTGAGAAAGTGAGGGGTTTTTGTGAGTGAATGATGGGGAAGCTTAGGGTGGAGTCAACGCTGATCAACGATACCGAAAATCATGTTGAATCTCCTAAACGATCTAAACCGACGATTAGGGTTTGAGAAGATATCCGGTCAAAACGGCAATATGACCATTCTATCATTCCTTTTAACTGGTTTTTGACCATCTTGCTATTTTTTTCAAAAAAAAATATTAACATATTTATATTTTGGATGATAAAGTAGTATTTTAAAAACTTGAGATTGGAAAGTGCCATCCAACCATTTTTTAGGTGAAAAAAAGTCCCTGAAATAAAACTATAAAAGTAATAATCGTGTCACCCCAGCGCATGTTAGCATAAAGTCGATGAGGGGAAGACAAATGATTTATTTTAGAGAGAAATGGAAAAAAAAAAAAAATTGTTAATCCCACAACCACCACTAATCACGGAGAGTAATCATCATTCATGAATAGCCGAACCACCTAATTACCTCCACAACAGACCGTATTATTGTTAAACTGGATCGTCATTAAAACAGTAGTTTAGTTTTAACTCAACGTTACTTAAAAGCTTTATTTTTTCCTTGTTGATTTTAGTTCCCCAGGCCACAAAAAGCCCAAATTAGCAACCACAGACGAACTCGTGCGGCGTGTTTAAAACACAATCAATTATTGATTCATGCGATAGATCTGTAGAAGACACGAAAGATTTTTGATTCGACAGAGAAGAGAGAGAAGGGATATGGTGTGATGAAGTTTAAGGAAGCGGAAAGAGATGGCGAGAGGAGAGTGGGGTCCGTGGGGATATCAAGGGAGGGGTAAATGGTGTTGTTCTTATAAGAAAACCACTCTTATTGTTTGTTCTATCAACATTGTTATCGCTCTCTACGTTCTTCGCTCAATCTACGGTTCTATTTATGTTTTTTCCAACAATGATTTAAATGGTATGGTTGTATATTTGTTTCCTTATTCTAAAGCTGAATGCTCGTTTAACGAAGGTATTTATTTGCTAATCTATTGTGTTTGTATTGCCTACAGTTGTAAAGTACACCCCAGATCAGATTAGGAAAATGGAAGAATCAATACGGATTCGAAGAGCTAATGAACCAATAGAGCTTGTTAAATTGGTAAAACCTTATATTAGATTTAGATAATTTATTGTTTCTTACCATGCATTTTTTATTTTATTTTTATTGGTTCCTATTATTATATATTCTGGGATTACCTAATGGAAATGCTGTTGCTGTGGGCACTAGTTAAAGGAATCAAAGCAAGACTTTTCAGAAGAATCAATGGTTGAATTGCCGCGGCCTGTTAAGGAGAGGATGACTGATGAGATCCTGCGGAGGTTGCGAAGCTTGAATGCAACGGGAGATGAAGATGCACAAAGAGGTAGGTCCAGCAAAATCTTGTGTAATTTTTTTTTTTTTTCTGAGTTATTTGCCATTGTCACATTGTTATTATCTGTAATATATTTTATTCTTGTTGGTTGTATTTCAATGAGCATATTTCATGTCCTTTTGGGAGTAAGTGCTCCGTAAAAGTAGGCACTGTGATGCAAGGTTAATAAATATTAAGTGATGTATTTATAGATGTGGAAGGTGGAAAACTTGAAATTTCTTAAATATTTAAATATTTAGTTATTGATAGTATTGTTATCTTAAAGGATTCACAACATGGTGATTGGGTGAAGTAATATGGTACCAACACTTTATGCTGGGGCAAACATGAGTTTCACTTTGTGATCATGTAAAACAGATAACAAGAGGGCTCCTAGTGTGATCATAATTTGTTTCTTATAAATTAATGAATTTATTATTTATTTTTTAGAAATTGAGCTTCATCGGAAACATATTAATCAAAATGAATGGAGAGCTCTCTGATAATATGAGACACATCTATTCAGATGACTGTCTCCGATTGCCACTTTAATCTATTGTATAGGGGATGTTCTTAAAATAAATAGGTATATGACATAAGTCTAATAGTTAACTTCTTAGAGTAACAGGCTTCTGAGAGCGGTATTAGGGCAGGGAGACACTTTTTCAATTATTGAAAAATTCATAATAAATTCACAATGGTCCCTGCATGAGGTGCCAAATATGAGTGGGCATTGTTTCAAACTGAAATAGTGTTGTAACCAATAACTGTTATTTAACAGTTTGGGCCAAATACGTTTTCTGAGTTTCTATTGCCTGAGTCACATATGCTTCTTTTTCAGAACACCATAAGCGATTAATTGGTGGTTCATTTTGGAATAAATTTTTCGATCAACCTTACCTATTGCCTCCAGCATTAAAGTTAACAATTTAACATGGTATGTATCCATTTATCACTGCTCTCTTCTCCCATCCTAATCCACCTCTGTTGTGTCTACCATGTTGCCCTTGTCACTGTCACCATAGCCACAGTCACAGCCACTGTGCTTGCTTACATTTCTTTTCCAATACGGTATATCAGCCATACCTGTCAGTTGGTTTTTCATCAATATGAGGGCACTCTTTTAATTGCACCATGCATCCAAGCCTTAAACTGACTTTTAATTCCACTTGCACAACATTCTAATGATCGTTATGGATCTAGTTTGGCTGTATCGGTTGAATTCCTGAATGGTGCTTTAGATTTTTCTAATACAAGGAGCAGCACACTTCTTACATGTGTCAACTGCTGTAACCAATTTGGAAACCTTGTTTCTTGTCACACAAATTAGAGTTATATGTTGTTATAGTTATGACTTTTTCCATGTCTCTCTTCCCATTTGCAATTACCGCCAATGAGACACATTAGTGTTTGCTTGGTTTGAAGCTGCATTGTTGCTTTTATTAACATTTCAAAGAGCTGGAATTGCACATATCTGAAACTGTATGTTGATAAATTATTCATAAGTGTTTTGGCCATAGTGTCTTCACAAGCACTGTAAACATTGCTTGGGGAGCAGGTGATATGTCTGCTAGTCTGAGAAGCCTATAGGGGCTTGATAATGTGGATGATTGAATTTTTTGAAAATATGCGATGGGCTCAAGGTTATTTTTTCCAAATTTGGAATTGTCAGGATACTTATGATTGTATTTATCTGTTGCGGCCTGCTTGCTACTCATCTTGTTGGCATTTTTCTTATAAATAACAGAAGCAGTTGAAAGCTGGCGCAAAGAAAAACTAGAAGAAGCCAAACAGTTGAGTGTTGGAAGACAGGGAATGAATTCAACTATTTTGCAAGAGGAAGCTAGTATGACCTATTCTCTCAGAGTCTTATATCAGCTTTTAGTTGAATTAAAATTTACTTTTCGTGAAATATTTGTAAAGATAAACGAGTATATGTAAAAGGAGCGTTTTTGAAAGAACCTTGTTTGTACGTTTCTGACTAACTGTTTTGTAGGAATGCTAGTAAGAGTCTTGGAGTCTGATTGGGATGCACTCTCAGAAGAAATTGGCCTTTGGATACCCTCTGAAATCACTCACCAAGAACATGATGATAAACCTGAGGAAGCAGAAGAAGAAGAGCTTGGTAAGTAATTGATATCTCTGTTTGTCAAATTCACCCCTTGTCCATTTTAAGAACTGAAGCAAGTTTTAAGATTTAAAATTTTTAATCTCACTAGCTGCCTCTGTATGCCCCCTCACGTTCCATTTTTTTGGAAAGCAAAAGAGCATGGTAAGATTTGTCTTCTACTCATTAAGGTGTACTTATTCCTCTGCAGAGGATGAAATTTTGCCTGGCAGACCAGTTCCACCTGAGTGTAATGCTCAACTTCATACAGATTATGATGGTACAGCTGTCAGATGGGGTCTTACGCACCACAAAGAGAGTGCAGCTGACTGCTGTCAAGCTTGCTTAGAACAGGCAAAGCGTGCAAAGCCAGGTCAAATGAAATGCAATATATGGGTTTATTGCCCAGCTGAGACAGGTTGCCATTCCCCGGATATCTATGAACATAAAAATCAGGAGTGCTGGCTGAAATATGTAAGCATCATTTTATGCTTATTTGCTCTATTATTTATGTCAGCTTTTTGTGAAGTTATAATGTAATGCTACTTATTGAATTTGTAGTCTAATATTCATATTCTCACTGACCATGATGCAGGCAGAGAAGCCCAAATTAAACTTTAAGGACAAGTATTCTGAATCATATAGAAATTCTCACCCAACTGCACCTTTGTTTGTTCCTTGGGTGTCTGGAGTCGTTAGTGTGTGATTGGATTTTGCGAAAAGAGTGAGTGGTCAATCAAGAAGTATGTTGACCTGCAACCTCATTCCGTTTTAGGGATAGTCATCAAGTTACACACTCCTTGAAATCCTACAAAATTCATCTTGTAACAACAATCAACTGAAATCCATGTCTCATACTCTGAATTTAGACTTTTGTTTATTGTTCTCTAGGTTTGTTTTGGGAAAGGAAAGGGATAGGGAGTGTGATACTGTGATTCCATGACTATATATAACTCTATTTTTTTGTAATACGGAATGTAATTTAATGGTCTTGGCAAAGATGATTCTAAATTGGAACATCTAATGCCAGAGCAAGGTGACATTCTAATGCCTATTTACCTTCTTGCTACTGTTTTTTGTTTTATTTTATTCGTTTTGCTCGTCTCCAGATGTACATTAACGTCATTGAACAAAATCTTTTGAAGGTTGGAAACCCCCAGCCAATGATGTCTAATTTTATGGCCACGGTGATCTAATTTTTTTCTCTTATCAACGGTTACTTTGAAGTAAATTCTGCTTAGTGATCACATAATTTTCTGTTCTATTATTTTACATATATTTGGTTCATGTATATTTTTAGCCCTTTTTTGTTGGGTTATTTTATTATGGGTAACTTTTGAAATGATAACTTAAAATTACGTATATTTTTCTTTTTCACTCTCATTAATTCATGAGCATTTTTGGCTCCTATTGCACTTTCATTGATTTAAATATGAGTAATACTACACTTTCAAAAAAAATTTACAAAATTTTTTATACAAAGTGATATAACAAAAAATGAATAAAAGAGTGAATATAATGAATTTAATTTTTGTTTCAGTTTTTTATTCATTTTTTGTCACCTTCATCTGTATAAAATCTTTATAAGGTTTTTTTTTGTAAGTATAGTGTTGTTGTTTAAATATTATTATAATTTTATGTTAAAATAATTATAATATACATAGTACAATCAAGTTTTCAAAAATTTTAATTATATACAAACTCATAATGGATTTCATTAATACTTTTTCTTGTGCAATTAATGCAATAACATTTCCTTTTAGTATATTCTGAACACCCGCGGCCATATGTCTTTTAAAAAAAAAAAAAAAAAAAAGCTGAAAGACATTTTCTCACCCAAAGTTTGCCCTAACAATAATTTATTATCCAAAAAATTTGGAAATAAAAATTACCTTCTTTTCATGAAAATCTTTAATAAAATCCATAAAATCTTTTAATAAAATCCGTTAAATGACATTGTAAAAACAAAAATACCTACATGGATTACTAGACCTTAGAGATGCTGTCAGAAAATCATGGAGTTTATGCATGTGGGAAACTATGATAGCCGACCTAAGCGAAACCAATCAATACAACGATCGGTCGAAATGATGGTCAAGACCCTCCTTTTATCCCACACACACGTACACCCACACAGATTCTAACATCATCTAAAAGGGCAAGTGAATATTAAACAACCACGTAAATAGAGAACATGAAGATAAATAAAGAACATGTACATAAATGAAGAACAAGAACATAAATGAAAACATAAATATTAAACATGTAAAAGAACATAAATTAAAACATATATGGGATCTTTTGCTATCTATAACATTTTCAGAGTATTACAACACCCTTGAGGTTGAGAGAAAGTTAGAAGTATGAAAGAAACATGGAAGAATGTAAGTGAAGATGTGTAGAGAAAGTATGGAAGTGTAGAAAAAATATGGAAAAGAAGAGTGAGAGAAATAAACAAAAGTGTTTGCAAAGTTTTACAACAAAGTTCCTCCTCCTCCCGAGAAGGGAAAAGTCTTTATTTATAGATACAAGGATACAACCACTCATAAATGGGTCATTAAATACAAGACTAACCTTTTTGACAGAGCCTCACCGCTTATAGATTCCAATTTCTGTGTGTGCGGAGGATTACCTCCCCTCGGATATTGGCTCCTTTAAGTTTTGGTTATGTTTTATTTCACTGTTTATTCCGTTATGTTTAAATGTAATTTTTGGGTCTTGCGCTATCCTTATCATTTGAGGTGATATTATACATCCAAGAGGTTGAACTTAAACACATGGAATCCTCTTCAGCTTTATCTACTTTTATTGTTCCCATAAATACTAGCTTATCTAAATCCTCTTCTAAAATAGATAGTTTGTATGAAATATCTTATATCCCAGAAAATCAAAAAAATCCAAGACACTATCCCTCATATTGTAAATCCTTATACAGCCTTTTCCAAGTCCTCGTCTTCTTTGTCTAAAACCTTTAAAACTCTAGTCTGTCCTTCTAGAAAGCCAGTCAAAGAGTATGTCCAGACTAGTACTTTTGACAAGTGTCAAATTCCAGCCACATCCCAAGCACAATATGTTACTTTGGAAATCCCTCAAGAATCCATTACTCAATGGATCCGGGAAGGATACTCTCATGTGCACTTTGGCGCTATCCGGCTCGCTCTCTCTTATCATGGCAGAAAAGGACTCCCAGTCTCTGTTCGAATTGCTTTATTGGACACTAGATTTGTCCAATATCAACATGCTTGTATAGGGACAACACATACAACTTTGAATGCTGGGACAGTCATTATGACATTGTTTCCTAATTTCAACATGTCCCTCTCTAATGTTCATTGCTCTAAGGCTCTTAAAGTTCAATTACAGATCGTTGGTGCAGATTTAAATCCAGGAAGTATTGCAGCTACTTTGCATTATCAAATGGTTTGGCAAATCCAAGACCATGCTCTTGATCTCGCTATCCCTACAACTACTGATGCACTGCTCCTTACTGTTGACTCTCAGAATACTCCTCACTGCATCAATATTTCCCGGCAAATTTCTATAAATGATTTGATTAAACTCCAGTGGTTTCTACATAATCTACCATGCATGATAACAGTGACGGAACAACAACTATCAGATTTAAGTCTCCAGCAACTCCCAGTGCTCCACCTTTGAGTTTTAGACAAATTCAATTCATGATTACTCCGGTCATGCCCACTGCTGTAGTACGGGAACCTGGACTTTCCATTCATTCTTTTCAACAATCTGGTGCTCTTGTCTATCATCAATATGATCCAGTCACTGGTCACACTCCATTTGATCTTGACTGCCAATGCTAGGAATGCCGTGATGATCCTATTTGAGAAATTGATGAGCATTATCTTCCAAGACGAAACTATTCCAACCAGAAAAAGAAGAAAGGTCGCTGCAGTCAGACAGATCTTCATTCCTGATTTGAAGAACATGATCCTGAAGTTGGTCTTCTTGGTCAACCGTATGGTAAATTTGACTATTATGTCAAATATTCTCCACCAGCCAGAAAAGATTCACCATCCAGTAATCCCTCATGGGACATCCCTCCGAAACCTCAACCTAAATCACCTTTAAAACTATCCAAACTTACAAAATCACCTTACTTCAAACAGCCTTTACCATGTTATCAACAGTCTCTGCGGTGGATTGCCAAAGAACATAAACCAACCCATTCACCCCTTGCTCATATTCCACCTGTTCAGTCCGTCATGATGATCCAATCCCCTGAGCCCACAAAGACAGGACAACATTCCAATTATGACACAGATTTTCCTTCCCTTCAAGAAACTGCCACTCAACAACCAAAAGTGGTTCCTTCCAAAGTTATACAACCTGATGGATCCACGCCCAAACTCTCCCAAGCTGAAGCAGTTCTCAATTGGCAAACTGAAAATGCTTTAGCCCAAAACAAAACCATGACTAGACTTGAACAAAAACTGGATTTAGTAGCTCATCAGGTGGACTCTCAGTCTCAGAACCAAACTCTGCTGATTTCTCGGCTACAAAAGCAAATTGATCATCTCCAAAACCGGATTGATCAGCTCCATCAGGAGTTAATGCATATTGTCAGTAGCTCTCATGGCTATTCAGCTCAGTTTCTTCAGAAGGAAGCAGAAATGAAGTCATTAAAAACCCAAATGGCATCGCTTCAGCAGGAATATCTTAAGCAAAAACTCAGACAACCATAGACTTTCCCTGAAATGTCATTGGTACCAAACCCTTTTGATTCCACAACAGTATGGCCACAACCCTCTTTTTCCCCTTTCCCAAAAATTAGCCAACCGTTGGTCTCACCTCATATACCTTCTGGTGCTGTTCAAGCTTTTGGCAACACTGAACAGTTATATGCCAAGCTCCGCAAAGAACGTGATGAAAAGATCAAGCTGGAACGAGACCAAAAGAAGCGAGAAAAGTATTCTGCTAGACCGCAGACTCCATATATTCCTGACTCTTTCTCTTCCAGTCACTCAGATCCTCCATCTCCTAAGCCTCATCATCCTTTATCTAATGATAAGGCTCCAATGCACATAATGATGATGGAAGACTGCCAACCTTCTGCTAATCCTGACTCTTCAGGAAATCCCGTCTCTTCCAATTTTATGAGCTCTTTTTTTAGAGACATGGCAGAAAGGCAACGTCTTGCCGCCTCAGGTCTTTCTCAGGATTCTCTATCTACCTTCCCAACAGAACCAGAAACCGATATACCTTCGACTGATGAATCATTTGAAAGTGACTTTGACTCTGACAATGATACTTTTGATCAGCATCCTCATGTTTATCCCCAACTGATGACCCATCAACCAGAATCGTCCAGACCACCTGTTGTTTCTGAGGTCGATGATAAGATGCCTGAAGGTGATGATTCCAACGCCTATGTATCGACAATCTCGTCATACTCCGGCTGAACGTGACTCTTATAAAGCTTCAGCAAAGCTCCACACTTTTACTGTCGATGATCTTCCTCCACACAAATGGAGAACTCGAATGTATGAATTTCAGGCCTGGTTACAAGCTGAGATGCTGAAACCTAATGCCCAAGTCTCTACTGTACTTACGCAGTTTACAGCTAGATTTGGTGGCATTCTCCGTGATTGGTGGATAAGTCTTCAGGAGTATAGACAAAATTTGTTCATCCAAATGCCAGATATCAACCAAGCCCTGTATCTCCTGTATGATGAATTCTGTGGATTACCTCACCTTTATGAGAACCAAGTCAGAGAAGAATATTTCAAGATGCGATGCTATTCTCTAAAAAAGAAAGATCTGGACAGACATTACAAAGAGATGGTAAAAAGATATCATATACTTAGGGGTATGGATGATCCTAATATGAAGCAAGCCTTTTTGGCATCTATTCCTGAATCCCTAAGTCATGAAGAAAACTGAAGGATATTTAAGTAATTTCAAAATCTTAAACATAAAACTTTTTTTCCGTCCTCTGTCTCCCAAAATGCATCTTCTCTTCTTTCCATCCCCATTGCCTTCTCTTTGTCCATGCCTTCGACTGCCGGCAAACTTCGGGTGGGAAGATGTCGTTCGGCCATAAAAATAAAAAACCCTAAAGAGTGTTGCTCAAACTTTTTCGGACATTTTCTCCAAATTTTGAAATTCTTTAATTGACAAAGTTCGCACACCTCAAAATCCTATTCCAATCTTACCCATCTCAGTTTTAGGTCGAAAACGTGAGAAAAGTATCCGGCATCTACAGTTTTAGGTATGCGTGTTTTCTGCAACGAGTTACTTATTGAAATATGTCTTACTATGTATCTTTTTGTGAGTTTATGGGGTTTTTGGTGAATTAATGGAAGTTGAAATTGGTGTTTGTCTAAATCTTTGTTAGATTGTAGAGATTTTGTGGTGTATAAGAAGTGTTTGCTGGCATTCTTGTGCGAGGCTTTGTGATGATTAATTTGAGCAAACAGAAATTAGTATGACCTTTAGATTGGCATTTTAAGCACAGGTCAGTATTGGTGCTGGCTTATTTTTGTATTGTTGATGAGATTTTCCTTTATTCGGGTTCGTAAAAGTTGCTGGAAGGTATTGTAGAAAGGTCCTGTTAGTGTTTTTGCAGAAACACAGTGCAAAACTAACTGAAAAGGAGATGATATGACTGAATTTATTTGTTTATTATATTTGATTATTCTTGAGGTTCTAAATTTTCTGTGTTATTTTTCTTTGGACCATGAAAAAATGGATATATTTACAAATTACTGTGCTTGCTGAGTTACAATACACTTTTGCGATTATGTTACAGTGATTTCATTCTTATTTCTATTTGTGTATATAATATATATGAGTTTAGTTGTGGTTCTGTGAATGCATTTAGCCGAATGCAGCATTACAATATTAATCATTGATCTAAGAAAAGCTAAAATATTGTGCATTAGAAATTGAGACAGTTTGTGGATCACATCATTCTAAAAATTTTCACCACAGACTGGTAAATCTGAGGATTTCAAATAGAATGTTAAACTACCACAGTACCTGATGTCATGCAATGTTATAAACTTGTCAGTTGTCACCATGTGTTCTTAGTAGGAAGTGCCTTTGATTCCTAAATCTTGTATCATTGTGCATGTTGCTACAGATTGTCTTTATCGTAAGGGAATTAAGCAAACTTTGATGATGCAAATTTTGTTGAGCAACAAATGTCTATTGTGTGTTGTTATCCAGAAGATCTGCGACTTTTGTTTATTAGTGATTTCTGCTGTTCTAATGAATGTTAAGGTTTCTTTCTATTAAATTTCATGTAATTACTCTATTCATTGCATCTGTAGTGAAGCTGATCTAAAGACGATTGTTGATTTGTTATCCAATAATGCTCTTTGGTGAGAGCACCTTGGAAACCCACTATGATATTCTGTCTGTGAGAGAAGATGCAAGTTACGAGGAAATCCGTACAAGCTATCGATCTGCCATTCTTAATCATCATCCTGATAAATTGCGTGGGTCTGAGGCATCTGAACGTGACAACGGATCAGGAGATAGATTTCTTAAAGTACAGAAAGCTTGGGAAGTCCTCAGCAATTCTAGATCACGTGCAATATATGATAGTGAGCTGAGAGTTTCAAGACAGGATACAGCTGCTGCAGAGGATGTTAACTTAGAGGATATGGTAGTTGAAGTCGAAGATGATGGAGAAGTAGTGGAACTATTTTATCAGTGTCGATGTGGTGATTACTTTTCTGTTAATTCTTTGGAATTGAGTAAAATAGGATACACATTGTTAAGGAATGAGAATATGATTTCTTTTCAAACTTTGAATGCTTCTCCAGCATCAGTTATTCTTTCATGTGGTTCTTGTTCACTGCAAGTTCGTTTATTGATCAAAGGTTCCTGTTGACAAACATTTGTGATTAATGAATTTTATTTTATTATAAATTTTGGTTGATTGGCGTTGTGCTTGTGTCCCATAATTACAAACTGCTTTGATCTACGATAATCACTTGGAACCTGAGACTCCCAACTCCCAAGTTTTAGCCCCTCGTCTTTCATGAGTAGGAAGGAGCTGGCTGCTGAATAATGTTACGGCCATTGCTGGCTGCAGAGTACTGTTGTGGCCTTTGCGGAAATTTCCGTAAGAGAAATTTGTTCGTAAGTTCTTTGTGTGACCATTATTGTTGCGGGACTATGGACGTCTTATGGTGAAATTTTTTTCTTCTTACAGGTTACTTTAAAAGGGTTCTGATGCCGTTTGTGCTGATATTAATTTCTATTAATGAAGCTCAAATTAAGATGGTTCAGAGTGCAGACTGTGTCATTTCCAGTGGTTTTTTTTTTTTTCCTAAAGAAATTAAATTAAATTGGTAATCGAAATTCGAAAAGCACGAACCTCTTCTCATATCATAACCAAAGAAAAATCATGAGAAAGGAAGAGGAGTTGGGCCTTGGGTGGACTGGGCCATTGCGAATTCAACACTGGAGAACACGTGTCATCATAAAATGGGAAAGTTTGGTGCTCTTCTTTCTCGATCTTCTTTGTTCTGATTTCCCGCGAATAATTCAACAGGTTTAGCTAAAAGGTATGAATTTCTACTAATTTTTATTCACGAACAATTTCAGTATTAAATGTACATCTCTATTTTCTGCTTTTGTGTCTATTCTCCATTCTTTTTCCGATGAACGGAAAGAGATAACAACTGTTTTTGTAAACTTTCGGCTTCACCAATTGGATTGAAAATATCTTTAATCGAAATGCGAACTTGTTGACTGATTATTATTATTTTCTAAACATTTTAAAGAGACTAATTTTGGTGCGTATAATAAAGTTTTTCAGTAATTATTAATTATCGCACTCATCTCATGTATAGTTTGTTTATGACAAAAAAATTTAGGGCAAAAATCACCTCCAACCTTATGCCTTTCAAATGTAAAGCAATAGAATTAATCACACCTGAGCCTTGATTTTGACACTTTGTATGATCCTCTTGGGCTTGCATAGCTTTGGAGTTTCTGGATTGGGAAAAACTAGTTCTGGGTCAATTCTGTTCAATTCAATGGGCCACTTGTTTTTTAATCTTTAGTTTATTGAACATGGATATTCAGATTCCCGAGTCATCATTTCCGTGAAAAACCTTCCTTTTAAATCTACATTAGCAATCACAGCTGAAAAGAGAGATGGGCTCTGGAGATGGGACTTTCCATTGGAGTGTGTTTGATGGCGTGAAGATTATGCCATCAACGCCTGAAGCCCTTATGGCCGAGATTAACACAGCCATTACTAATCTTGAGTATGCTCGTGCTACTGCTTACCTTGCCTCTCCATCTTCCTTGTCAAAGAACTTCAACTCGGAGGAAAGTGTCACTTCACAATATGATGCAAAAATTGCAGATGAGGCTTATAAGGCAGGATGTGCAGCATTGGCTGCTGGCAAACTTGATGAGGCTCTTCTCTCTCTAAACCTTTCTCTTTCCAAATGCCCACCTGATAAGACCACTGCAGTTGCTAAGCTTCAGTCTCTCATTTCTCTAACATCTCAGCAGCTTCAGAACTCTTCTCACTGAATTAGCTGGTACCTTTTTATATTTTAATTTTAGAAGATAATGGATTTTATGATATTTGTCTTAATTTGGTATTAGCTTGATGTTTTAGTAGTATTGTTGTGTAAACTGATTTTGAATTTATTAACAGTTGATTTCTGATTACTTGCTCCATTTTTTTTAAACTCATTGTATTGATGCTTATTTAAACGTAACAAAATTAGTTTCTCCTGTTGGATGCGCATTTCTCAGGTGATGAAGAAAATTCTTCTGAAAAGTATTAGAACTCACTGTATGATTCAATTTAGGTGCATTATCTAATTGTAAAACCTTAAGGAATATACCGTAACAGAACAAGATCATTTTTCTATTAGTGAAGTCTTTTTGAGAGAAGAACAGAGGGATCATTTGGTTTTGCAAATACATTAACTTAGAATTTGGTAGGTTGGCTAATTATGTCTTCCTTTTTGGTCTCTCATTAGGTTCTGAGGCTTTTGTTGGAATAAAGAGTTGTGTTCCCTATGGTGTGGTTGATCAGGGAGGCAAAGCAATGCGGAGCTAAAAATTATATATGAATTTTTACGTTGATTTATAGAATGAAGTTGATGATTGAAACTCTTGTAAGAAAGGTTAAAAGGTAAAGGACAGTTGTATCTCAAGGTTGAGGTTTATTCGTTACTTCCCAGTTCAGGTTGTATCCAGCTAAGGTTCTTCCAGTTGCCGCAAACGTTTTGTGACATTCTGACCAGAAGCAAGCTCCATCATCTTAATCTTTTATCAGTTGGTTATCATGTATTGAATTGATTTCATTTGTTAGAAGACATTGTGGTATTGTGGGGAAAGAATATAATGTTCGCTTTTCAAAGCAGTTTGGCATGACCTCTACAAGTGGAAGTCTTATGAGTAAAAGACTGGTATTACAAATTTTTGATGTTGAAGTTTATGCTTTATGTATTACGAGGTACTATAGACCAACAATAATAAATTATTTGTAAGAAATAACCGAAGTTTCATATGCTGCAATGGCAATGGCACCTCTAGTTTCATTGTTACTTGATCTTGTAATAAAATGTCCTTTATAATATTTAGCAATATAAACTAGCATTTAATCGTAATAAGGCATAAGTAATATTCCCTTCATGTTTTCTCTGCTTTGACTGTGGAACTTGTCCCTTACTGGTATGTAATCTTTTGTGGAACCTTTTTCATTCATCAAGGTTTTGTGAGGTCAGACTAAATTACTTTTGTCTCCTTTTTAGCTTGATATATGCACATTTGATTGCCCAATCGTTTCTTAACATCATTTTCAATTGATAGGAGATTCTCTGTGATGATCCATGTGTGGGAGAAGAAAGGGAGGAGAAGATATGGCCGGTGACCTTTTCAAAAACCAATTAAAGTTGGCATGAGAACCACTATACACTATATGGCAGTATCTACTTGCTTGCATTTTACACTTTTCTTTAGTCTTCAGAATTGGGTGCCAGGGCTATTCAGCTGGTTGCACTGTTTTATATGTGACAGGTTGAATAAGGGAAAAAGATTACATGATGTATGATTCTGGACTGTAATCATGATGTTTGTTGTCCTGGATCAGCTTCTGTTGTTCACTTACATTGTCAATTGCTCTGTGCATAATCTTCTTTTGTGATATATAAGTTTAAATTCACCAAGGATTGCACAGAGTTTGAAGGTGTTAAAGTAATAGAGTTGTTTCTCATGATGCAAACGCAATTCTCGTAATCTCAAGTTTAAGGATGCTCCTTTAATGTTTTATAATTAAATATCAAACAAACTGCAGTTCAAGGAAGCAGTTTTATGGGAAATAATTCCTGCTTCAGTGATAGGGTAAGAGAATTGACATCTGAACTTAATGCAATTCATTTGTTAACAATACCAAACTATCTGGCTGTCAAAGTCATTCCTGGAAGACGCATGTGTCCTTCGGAGTTTAAGTCTTGAAAGAGATGGATTAGGTTGATTCATCTGACGTCTGCTATTACACATTTATGAAAATATTTCCCAATACGCGTTTGATTCATGTAGCTGTTTGCTTTTTTTAACCTACTTTGATTGAACCACGTTGTCCTGTCTGATCATGATTTCAATGAAAACCCTGCTTTTTGGTTGTAAAAAGTTTTTATTTTTATTTTTATTTTTTGGTAAAGGTAGGTGTTAGCAACTTAGCATGTTCATGTGAGGCTTTAATTAACAGTTTAAAGCGGTTTCAAAAGTGCTGCGCTGCACTGCACTACCTCATCATAACGCTTGGAAAATTATGACCACGAAAACAATTAAACGTTCCACTTACAATAAATGCTTGTTCAACTTAGTGGTTCCACCATTTCAACTTTACTGGAAAAAAAGTTGCAATGGGTGGTTGATATGAGGCAGAGAGAAAAAGATATCACGTACTCAAACAAACTTTTTCTTCTGCCGGATCTTACTTGATCAAAATCTATGATAATATTATTATTAGATTCAGTTGCTTCCTGATCATATTACTCCGGTCTTGGAAGAAATAAGGTAAGTAGATTGATATTTTCAATTTATTTGCACAAGAAAGTTAATGTTTCGATGGAGTTATATCAAATTTTGTCGTATGCAGTGTGGTTAGGTACCTTGTCTTAGTTCTTCATGACTTCAACTTGAAGTGTAAAAAACTACGCATTAGCTATGGAGTATGACTGAAATAAATTGACCCTTTAAAGAAATGAATACGAATTTTTAGCCGACAGACGACAGACGACAATGAGAATTCGCGCGAATTTGAGGGTTTATTTGTTAGATTGTCGTGTGTGCTTTTTTTTACTTTGTCTTAACCCCAAAGAATTTTAGAAACCACTGTTTTCAATAAGCTGCAAGGCCGCTATCAACTTTGAATCTATTATAAATACCGCTGAAGAATCAATTTGAACTGCATTTTTGAGCAGCTACTTCTTCAACATGAGTGCCTTTTACCATGAAGAGCCACCACAGGACTCCAAGAGATGCAAATTCCTTGCCATGGTTTTGAAGAATGTGTTTTCAAATTGTCATAACGGCAATGGACGGTTTCCGCCTTCGAGCCCAGAGGAGGAGTATCAAACAACCGACTTTGATCATGAGCAGGAAGTACTCACCATTCACACTAGCAAATTTTATTTCTAGCTTTTGTTTTTTACTACAAATCTATGAGTGTTTCTTTGGGTTTACAACAGGTGGTTGTCTCAGAAATCCGAAGTCGAGCAATGGAGAAGCTGAGACGCAAGCCTTGTCCCATGACTGATAGCTTTTCCTGGGTCTTTTCACCAAGAAGCAGAGAATTGTACTTAAAAGCACATCAACAAAAATATGATGATGATGATGATGAAGAAGAAGCGAGAGATGAATACTTTTCAGTTGGAAGCTGTTTCTCTTGTTATTCGAGTGCTGTGAGCAGGGAAGCATATTACTCGGTAAAGACAAACTTATCCGGCTATAGTCCAAGCTTGAATGGGTTTGATTTTCAAGATTTTCCAAAGCTTGATTTTCAGGATCTCCGGAGGTCTATAGTTCAAGAACTTTGCTTTTGTGAGGGATGGCCATTCGGCCTCTGCAGGAGGGCTGTGTTACTACCACCTCTACCCAAATCGCCATCTGAATCTTGGTCATGGCGTAAAGGCACTAGAATTGCTAAGATGCCTTGTCTTTAGGATATCTGTTTTCTTTTTCCTTTATTTCTTCTGTTTATCAATGGAAGCAGATCTACTCGCTTAAGAATAATAAAGAGCCTAAAAAGGCACTTCAGGCAGCCAAATTTCTCATTTTTTAATCATCATTAAGAAAAAACACACAAAAATGGGTCATTTAATCAGCTTTTAGAAGCACTGTTTTTGCCGTTCTGATAAGTCAATATCCCTAGTGGCTACAACCAGCACGAAACATGCTTCTCATCGAAATCCTTGCTGAGCTATGTCCATTTTGCAACTTAAAATTATTGCTTTATTTCATATTCATGTTATGGTTAAGACCATTCACAATGTATAACCTAATGACTAGGCCGTGCATACGACAACTAATTCATCAAAAACCGCAAGCATCGTATACACGGTTGGTGACAAAGTCCAAAACATCTAAATGCCGATGGCCTATAAACAAGCCTTGGGCTCCTTTCAGATATTATAGGTAGTCCTAAGAGTAGAGGAAATCGTAACCAAAATCACCATCAACGAGCTCAGATTTGCTAACCATTGCCAGAAACATAAAAAATTGGAAGAAGGATAGATTTTGGGATATGCTAGAAAATGAAGATACAAACGAAACATTTCCAGGCCTAATGAAAGATGATAAAGCACTGTCTTATTCATTTATAGTTGATGCTTAAGCTTTTATTAAACTGCCATACAACTCCAAGAGAAAATGACTTGTCTCTCACTAACCAAAAGCACGTTGCCGGCACAAGAAAGTCACAATTACAATAAACCTTTCAACTCTGGGCTAAGCTCTTTGCTCCACATATGACCCAGAAAGACCAGATGTCCCAAGTACAGTAACCTGCAATAAGAAGTTTCGTAAAGGTTATTACGGTTTACAAAGCAATTAGCATTGCAGCCAGAGTTCACCAACACATATGCATATGACATAAATAGACTTCAAGGAATTGTCACATATTAATCGCATTTTACAACCAATGCCAAACCCAAAAACACATTTGCAGAAATGAAACCCTTTAAAATGAGAACTCCCTTCTAAGTTCCCTCACAATTATATGGAACAGGAAAAAGGGGAGGGAGGTAACTTGTGCAAATTGTTCTTAGTTGATCTATGCTAGATGTACAGATCAACAAAAAGCAAAGGCCAATTACACCTTGACCTAAACGGCCTTTTGTCTGTTTCTCAGAAATAATCGTTGGTGTATTTAACTTAATAATTAGGTTGTCTAACATGAAGCCTTATGGAACATAAAAAATGACATGAGTGCTATAAAACACGTAAATTGCCAAAATTCATGTACAGATATCTTAAGCCGGAATAACACCATGATCAGGATAATACCTTTCCCCACTCAGAACCAAGGCGACTGCATCTCATCTTTAAGAAAATCATCTTAGACCCCAATTCCATCTCCACCTTCTTTCGCAAAAAGGATTCTTCAGGACCAAATGCATCCAAATAGGTAGTATAACGTTGATAAACTGTACGAAGCGCATTGGACAAATCATCTGGCAAGGGTTTTACATCCTACATAAAGTTCAAATCATTAAACCACAAGAACTCTTGAGACAGAAAAAGAAAGCAAGTCCATGATCCCATATAAACCATATTACCTCACCACTCATCCCAATACTATCGTCAATTTCCATTTTCATATTCATAATAATCCCAGTAAACTCCTCAACTGCTTTAGCTGAGCCGAAAACAGTTTTCAAGACCTCCTGGCCAGCCTTGTCATCTGTGTTTTTCGACAAAACCTTCTTCACATCATGGAGGACTCTCTCAGGAATCTCATCCCAGCTTTCAGCCATCAAGTCCTTGAAAACACGCTCAATTTCAGGATCTTTTATTACAGGCATGTGAGCAAGATCTTCACTGAAAGAGCGGGTGCCCCCTAAGCTCATCATAAGAGGAGAGCGGCAATCTGTGAATTTTACACCAATAGAACAAGTTAAGCATTTGATATCTATCACTCAATTGCATAACAGTCAAAAGGATAACTCTAGGACAAAAAACACAGGTAAATCAAGTTACACCAATAGTTCAGAAGCAACTATAGTCAAATGTGCTCATGAAAATACTCATTAAACTACCAAAATAGATTGAACTCACCAGATATAATGGAATTATACATTTTTGCACAATATTTACAGTTTTATCAATCCCACGAAAATCTCATTAAAGAAAGGTCCAGTTCCTTGCATAATACTCATTATTCACTGAGGTATATTACATATTTAATCAATAACTAACTGAATTGAAAAATGAAAGAACAAAAAAACAAAAACCCTCAAACAATCGCCAACATTGCCAGCTCTTGTAAAATACATAAAATAAATAAAAAACTCATTCACCAAATTTTAAGAAGAGAGAATATGCTAGTCATAGAGGAGAACTGAGACTGCTTAAGAAGATGGCATAAATTGATGTGCTAACTAAGATACAATGGGTCAGTAATAAGGGTACAGTTTCTAAATGACCTTAGTATCAACTCTATCAGTTAAGTTACTCTACCATAAACTCAAAGACCGACCCAGCAGACAAGTTTTTAATCTAAAAAACCCATGGAAAAGTTAAAAACACTTTGGAAAGTACAAAACATAACAATTGATAATACCCAAACAAGTCCGCTAGCAATAAATCTCTCATCACCATGAGTTGAACCCTCGTACTTCGAAACATACAATTTAAATTACAGAGCGAGCTAATACATCATATTAGTTATGAACCAAAGAGCATAAAAAGATAAACAAGATATCTAAAGGTAATAAATTGAAAAAAAAAACAAGTTTGATGTTGATCAAGCTTCGTACATTTTAACAGTGATGTTTAAATTTTATATAACAAATTGTTATGGGTTTGCGATCGAAAGCTAAGGAAGTACCTGAAGTGAGGGATTTGGAAGGACTTGAAGCAGAAGGAGAGGACAAACTGAAAAGCGTTCGAGAAGATAACAGGTGACGAACATGATGGTTATTGGCGGCGGCAATGATTGAAGATCTGAAACGGGCTGCTCTGCATATGGATCTCACCACACTCATCTTCTCCATTTCTCTCTACCTTAGTATAAACGACTATTGCGTTGCGGGTTTTGGGTTCAAAGAAGTGTATTGGTAAATTTAATACCAGAAAGAAACGATGGTGTTTTTTTCGTTGTATTATTATTATTTTATTTATGGATTTTGCTTTAGGATGGGGCTTAGCCTTTGGGCTTTTAGCTTAACGGCTCATTTTGGGCCATTGCACCACTGTTTTTCACAACAATATTTATTTCCATTTTTTTTCTTTTTAACTTTTTTACTTAATTCCTAATGTAAATAGTTTTAATATATTTATATAATAATTTTACAATATATTTATATAACAATTTTATAACTGAAAAAAATTATATATATATGCAAACAATTTCATATTAGAAAATTTTGAATGGGTAAGTTACCCATAAACCCGCCCCAATCCAACCCATTCCCAAACTTTTGATAATGGGTTGTGGCGGATTGGCTCAAAGTTATTATGCAGTGAATTGGTTTGGTAGAATCCCTAGCTCTAAAGCTAGCACACATCAAAAATCAAAATGGATTAGAAGTCTTAACAAATGGCAGATGGATGCATGTATGAACCATTTCCAAGTTCATGTATGGCCACACACAAACACAAACAGACAAACTCATCTATAAATATAAACGAGAGGATAAGAAACATTACAAACATCATCTAACAATCTCAAACACTCTCTCATGGAATCGTCTACCAAACCAGAAATTCAATGCGAGTTTCTTCCATTACTTCGTGTCTACAAAGATGGCCATGTCGAAAGACTCCTCGACACCGACTTTGTCCCTGCAACATCAAACGATTCTCTTACTGGAGTTTTATCCAAGGACATAACCATCCTTACTGAACCCAACATCTCTGCTCGTCTTTTCCTCCCCAGACACATCAACACGAACCAAAAGCTTCCTCTTTTGGTCTACTTTCACGGCGGCGGCTTTTGCATATCTTCACCTTTCACTTCCAAATACCACAACTACCTTAATACTCTCGTTGCCGAAGCTAATGTTATTGCTGTTTCAGTGAACTACAGGAAAGCTCCTGAGCATCCGATCCCTACAGCATATGAAGACTCTTGGGTTGCTCTTCAATGGGTTGTTTCCCATAGTAATAATGATGGACCCGAGTCTTGTTTGAATGACCATGCTGACTTTGAAAGAGTGTTTTTATCTGGAGAGAGTGCTGGTGCGAATATCGCTCATAATATGGCTATACTAGCTGGACACCCGGAGTTTGGGCTCAGTGTACCGCTTTTAGGGGTTGCTTTGGTCCACCCATATTTTTGGGGGTCGGATCCTATCGGGTCAGAGACTGCAAATATGGATTCAAAGGCCGCAACAGATCGTTTGTGGCCATTTATCTGTCCGTCGAATCCGGATAATAATGACCCAAGGGTCAACCCGGTTTCTGCCGATGCTCCAAGTTTGACGGGGCTCGGATGCAAAAGGGTTTTAATTTGTGTGGCTGAGAAGGATGTGTTGAAAGACAGAGGGTGGGTTTATTATCAAGAATTGAGTAGGTGTGGGTGGATGGGCGTCGCGGAGATTATGGAGACAGATGGAGAAGGTCATGGGTTTCACTTGTATGATTTGCAAAATGAGAAAGCCAAGGATTTGATCCAACGGTTGGCTGCTTTCTTTAACAGGGACATGCCCCCTTTAATTTGATTGTGGAATTTTGAGTCTCATTGTGTTAAATTTTCTACTTACCTCCACTTCAATTTGGTTTAAGCTTGTTGACAAGTTCAATTGTTTTGTTAATAAGCTTTTAAATCATTGGCTTTCTATTTAATTCAACAACTTGTAATATCGTATTAATTAATTATAGTGTTTATTCAATTATGAANGACGAACATGATGGTTATTGGCGGCGGCAATGATTGAAGATCTGAAACGGGCTGCTCTGCATATGGATCTCACCACACTCATCTTCTCCATTTCTCTCTACCTTAGTATAAACGACTATTGCGTTGCGGGTTTTGGGTTCAAAGAAGTGTATTGGTAAATTTAATACCAGAAAGAAACGATGGTGTTTTTTTCGTTGTATTATTATTATTTTATTTATGGATTTTGCTTTAGGATGGGGCTTAGCCTTTGGGCTTTTAGCTTAACGGCTCATTTTGGGCCATTGCACCACTGTTTTTCACAACAATATTTATTTCCATTTTTTTTCTTTTTAACTTTTTTACTTAATTCCTAATGTAAATAGTTTTAATATATTTATATAATAATTTTACAATATATTTATATAACAATTTTATAACTGAAAAAAATTATATATATATGCAAACAATTTCATATTAGAAAATTTTGAATGGGTAAGTTACCCATAAACCCGCCCCAATCCAACCCATTCCCAAACTTTTGATAATGGGTTGTGGCGGATTGGCTCAAAGTTATTATGCAGTGAATTGGTTTGGTAGAATCCCTAGCTCTAAAGCTAGCACACATCAAAAATCAAAATGGATTAGAAGTCTTAACAAATGGCAGATGGATGCATGTATGAACCATTTCCAAGTTCATGTATGGCCACACACAAACACAAACAGACAAACTCATCTATAAATATAAACGAGAGGATAAGAAACATTACAAACATCATCTAACAATCTCAAACACACTCTCATGGAGTCGTCTATCAAACCAGAAATTCAATGCGAGTTTCTCCCATTACTTCGTGTCTACCAAGATGGCCATGTCGAAAGACTCCTCGACACCGACTTTGTCCCTGCAACATCAAACGATTCTCTTACTGGAGTTTTATCCAAGGACATAACCATCCTTACTGAACCCAACATCTCTGCTCGTCTTTTCCTCCCCAAACACATCAACACGAACCAAAAGCTTCCTCTTTTGGTCTACTTTCACGGCGGCGGCTTTTGCATATCTTCACCTTTCACTTCCAAATATCACAACTACCTTAATACTCTCGTTGCCGAAGCTAATGTTATTGCTGTTTCAGTGAACTACAGGAAAGCTCCTGAGCATCCGATCCCTACAGCATATGAAGACTCTTGGGTTGCTCTTCAATGGGTTGTTTCCCATAGTAATAATGATGGACCCGAGTCTTGTTTGAATGACCATGCAGATTTTGAAAGAGTGTTTTTATCTGGAGAGAGTGCTGGTGCGAATATCGCTCATAATATGGCTATACTAGCTGGACACCCGGAGTTTGGGCTCAGTGTACCGCTTTTAGGGGTTGCTTTGGTCCACCCATATTTTTGGGGGTCGGATCCTATCGGGTCAGAGACTGCAAATATGGATTCAAAGGCCGCAACAGATCGTTTGTGGCCATTTATCTGTCCGTCGAATCCGGATAATAATGACCCAAGGGTCAACCCGGTTTCTGCCGATGCTCCAAGTTTGACGGGGCTCGGATGCAAAAGGGTTTTAATTTGTGTGGCTGAGAAGGATGTGTTGAAAGACAGAGGGTGGGTTTATTATCAAGAATTGAGTAGGTGTGGGTGGATGGGCGTCGCGGAAATTATGGAGACAGATGGAGAAGGTCATGGGTTTCATTTGTATGATTTGCAAAATGAGAAAGCCAAGGATTTGATCCAACGGTTGGCTGCTTTCTTTAAGAGGGACATGCCTCCTTTAATTTGATTGAGGAATTTTGAGTCTCATTGTGTTAAATTTTCTACTTGCCTCCACTTCAATTTGGTTTAAGCTTGTTGACAAGTTCAATTGTTTTGTTAATAAGCTTTTAAATCATTGGCTTTCTATTTAATTCAACAACTTGTAATATCGTATTAATTAATTATAGTGTTTATTCAATTATGAAGATAAAATACCTTAGCTATATTTAAATTGGTGAGGCATCTATCTCTAGGTGGTTGAGTGGTTTAATAAGGACTTTTAGGTGTATTATTTAAGAGTTTTCGAGTTTAAGTCTCTTTTCAATCTCTAATAGAGATAGTCATTAGAGCTCTTATCCGAAAGGTAGTTCCAAGGTTTTGGGAGATTAGTTAAGATACGTATGAACTGACTTTGACAGTAGGCACGCAACCACATACAAACATGTGGGTTCAATTGAACCCACTCGACTTTTTGAAAGAATAAAAACAAGTTTTTATGTTTTATAGAATTTACAATTTTAACCTACTTAAATTTATGTTAGACCCACAAAAATAATTATTAATTAATACTTTTTAAACTTTTCTCTCTTTCTCGTTTCCTCTCATTTTTTCTTATATTATTTTTTTTCCTTTGGTTGTATACTAAAAAAAGACTACTTATTTGGATTACAAGGTAAGATAATGCTTATTTTATTTTTTTTACTTAAAATTATTTTCTTTTAACTTTTTTAATTGATGAAAGATTATGAGCTATGAGTTTTTATTGAGTTTAATAAATTGGTTTGAAATTAGAATATGAAATTCCTAGATTTTGATATGAATTTTGATTTAGTTATGTTTATATTGATGTATGAGTTAATTAGTTGATGTTTTAAGTTGAGTTTGATACATTTTTGTTAGTAATTAAGTTAATTTTAAATGAATTTAAAGAATTGATAAAACTGTAAATTGTAGAGATGTGGGGATGTGGTTTAATTTTGATATATTAGTTAGTTACTTGATATTTAGAATTGAATTTGATCAGTTTTTATAGACTTATGAGTTGAATATTATTGGGTTTGTAAAAATTGTTTGAAAAGGATAGATTATAAAATTTGAGACTTCCATTTATCAACTTAATTTTTTGACCCCCCGTTGAATAAAAATCCATATTATGTCTCTGCCTGACACCCCTTGTCATCTAAATAAAAAATAAAAAAATTGATTAGGCAATATTTACTAAGTAAAACATCATCTTAACAATCATTTACAAGTTTGGAGTAGCTTTATGAATAAGTGGATATTGGAGGGTAAATGCAATTTCTTATTTCAAATCTTAAAGTTATATAGATTTTAGATTTTAATTATATATTATAGACGTCGCCAAAGTTGACCCTGAAGAGAGTTAATATTTGAAGTTGGTTTGTGTATTTTGGAGATTGCATTGGGTCGACTCCCGTGAGGGTAATCCGGCCAATAGATGGAGATACCATCTTCCAAAGATTGTTATTATTTTCTGCCGCTGTGATAGTCGTGATAAAATAATAAGGAATATATTGGTAGAGCATAATTTATATAATTTAGAATACTGTTGGTAGGTGATGACTTCAATTGCTTGTTGAGATGAATTCAAAGTTACTCTGTATATTTGAATGATCTTCATCTGTACTCTGGTTCATAGAATTTTAAATTTCAATATAAAAATAATGAAAGAATGTTCACCCACAAGAGTTATAAGGAACAGCGATTGAAACTCTGTGCTGTTTTCATGATCTCCGCAGAGTCCGCTTGCACTAATATGTCATAAAGAGTTCATCTTTTTACTTTTTATTTTTTCAAAGTCAGAAGGAACTCATCCTGGACTGTACGTTTACACTTGTCACCTCCTTATATTTCTTCCTCATTTAAGACATAGACACTTGTCACCTGTACCTTTCCTCCTCATTGAAGATCGANAGAATATATTGGTAGAGCATAATTTATATAATTTAGAATATTGTTGGTAGGTGATGACTTCAATTGCTTGTTGAGATGAATTCAAAGGTACTCTGTATATTTGAATGATCTCCATCTGTACTCTGGTTAATAGAATTTTAAATTTCAATATAAAAATAATCAAAGAATGTTCACCCGCAAGAGTTATAAGGAACAGCGATTGAAACTGTGTACTTTTTTCATGATCTCCGCACAGTCCGCTTGCACTAATATGTCATAAAGAGTTCATCTTTTTACTTTTTATTTTTTCAAAGTCAGAAGGAACTCATCCTGGACTGTACGTTTACACTTGTCACCTCCTTATATTTCTTCCTCATTTAAAACATAGACACTTGTCACCTGTACCTTTCCTCCTCATTGAAGATCGATCTTAAAGCTCTTTCTCTCTTCTCAAATGGCTGCTGATAATCCTGTAGAAGTTTCAATTGATGTTTTTCCTTATCTTCGAGTTCTCAAAGATGGAACCGTCCAGAGACTTGGGGGAACCGAAGTGGCTCCTGCAGGCTTGGATCCTGAAACCAACGTTTTGTCAAAAGACATCGTCATCATACCAGAAACCGGTGTCTCAACCAGGCTTTACCGTCCCAACTCCGCAAAACCTGAAAAAAAGCTTCCCCTTGTAGTATATTTTCATGGCGGAGCTTTTATCATTTCTTCAATTGCCGATCCCAAGTACCACGCAAGTCTCAACAATCTAGTTGCGGAGGCTGGTATCGTTCTTGTCTCTGTCAACTATAGATTAGCCCCAGAACATCCTCTTCCTGCTGCATATGAGGACTCATGGGCTGCACTTGACTGGGTGGCTTTACATGGTAAACATGAAGCTTGGCTCAAGGAATATGCTGACTTTGGGCGTGTGGTTTTAGTAGGGGATAGTGCTGGTTCTAGTATTTCACACCACTTGGCCTTGAGGCTCAAGAAATCAGACGTGGGTCGAGATTTGAAGGTACTTGGTATTGGCATGATCAATCCTTATTTCTGGGGATCGGATCCGATCGGAGTTGAGGTAACGGATCAGTTCAGGAAAAAAATTGTAGACAATTGGTGGATGTTCGTTTGTCCATCAGATAAAGGGTGTGATGATCCGTTCATTAACCCGTTTGCGGATGGAGCACCGAGTCTTGCGGGCTTGGCTTGTGATAAGGTACTTGTTATTGTTGCAGAGAAAGACATACTCAAGGATAGAGGGAGACTTTATTATGAAAGATTGGTGAACAGTGAAAGGCCAGGAAAAGCGGAGATTATGGAAATAGAGGGGGAGGATCATGTTTTTCATATTTTTGACCCCACCTCCCAGAAGGCTAAAAGCTTGATTAAACGTCTGGCTTCTTTCATCAATGAAGCGAATGCTGCTGTTGTGTGAAGGCGCCGTGAAAGTTTGGTTTTAAGGTTCCGTTTGCTTTTAGTGCATGGCAATTGATGTGGAAAATAAGCGGATTTGTAAGCTACCTTTCACAGGTAGATCATTTCTGTAATAGTTTCTAATGTTTCCTCCCGAATGATGTACTTTGTCAGAAGATTAATTAAATGGGTTCTGTTTTATATGATTTGTTGATGTTGCACATAATTATTTGCCATAACTCCTATGATCATTCACCTTTTAACAGCTTCGTGCTCGTTCTTAAGGGTGTGTTGTGCGTAGTATGTACCTGAGCAATTGATAATAACACAGTTTCATTATGACTAAGACGAACAATATTAGGTTAAGTTATTTTTATTTTATTGATTATTAATTTGAAAATAGAAATGACTTCCATAATTATTAGTGGTTGTTTGGTTAATAATCCAAATGGTACTTTGGAAGTTCTATTAACATTTAAAATTTTAGTCAGAAATCATCCATAAAGAACCCCAACTACTTATTTGAAAAAAGTTGCGGTTGCTTTGATTTTGCCTTATGCGGACATTTTTTTGGCGTTAGCAAGGAGGAAACCTAACTATCAGATCCGAAAAGGACACGAAATGAGCATGAAGCTAAAGTACCCTGTTGACGGAATCTGTTTATAATAGTAAAAGATGAAGTTATGATGAACATGCGCATTCATTTAATTAATATCCACAGCTATGAAAAGGAAAAAAGGGAAACAAATTGTTTTAATCTCGTCAAAGGTCCTAGCCAGCCCATTTATTGGTATACAACTAATTGCTGTAAGTTAAATGCTGGTACAAATTGTCGTCTACTGATTGCTTATAGAATGCTTTCATCTTCTATTGCCTACCTATCTGTCGAAAGGATCCAAATGAACAGCCCTTTCCTACTAACAAGTACTAAAAGACAGGTAGACTGGAGGTTGAGGTAACTCTGAAGTAGAAGCAGAAGTAGTTCCAGCAGGAGCAGGATTCCATCAATTAGCGTCTCAGCAAGACTTTACAGTAAACAACTGACCAAAAACTTCAGATGATGGTATAACATTACCGTGCAAGTGGATGCTTTTGCATATATAGCATCATCCATTGTCTACAGGAACAAGTTATTTACTGAGGCTGACATTGCCCGGAGCATCGTCTTCACTACTCTTCCAATTTCATGGGCAGTCCACGAGGCTTGAGCAGCTGTTCTTGGCGCATCATCACTGCTCAATCAAGGACTCTAGCGTGGGTCAGGGTCACGAATGTTATCATTTTGGCATTTCAATTATCAATCGTTATTTGTGGAAGCGAAGGATAACTGTTGGATGTTGGCATGTTCCATCAGTGATGAGTCGCTCATCCAAGATATAGTCAAAGATATACTGCGCCAAAGGCAACGGAAATACTACTTACACTCCAAAGATTGTCTACAAGACCTTTATCAGGAGTTTGTAAAAAGAAGGAAACATATATCCGGATGGTTCCCACCGTGTTAACACGCAACCGCAAATCGCGCACTCTTTCAGATCATTAAACGAACAAGAAGGAGTACATATCTAGAATAAGTGAAATCCAATTTTTGATTGTTTGCAATTAATTAATGTATCAATCAGAATAGAAAAGACAACCCATGATTATCTTCCTCTTGAACTGCCTCCAACACGATTAATACTACAAAAACATTCTGTAGAAAATCTCAACATCCGTCCACACTTGCTACAAGTGGTTAAAGAAAACCATATGACTTACAGTCCAACAATTAAATTGTTTTCGCAAAGAAATCGCAGGCAAGAGAAAAACTATAACAAAATGTTCAGTATAAGCATTGAGTGAAAACTAAATTCAGATTCAGGATTGTTCTACTGCAGCAAGTAATCAAAATACAACTGTATCAAGCATGGTTCCCAGAGTCTGCACTATGTTCGAAGACATCAGGTTGGACACATGTTCCTCAAGGTGTTTCTTAGCATCTTGCCTTCCTACATTAGCAATTGCTAGCTTTTCTGGTGGCAACTCATCTTCCTCTTGAACTGCCTTGTTATATTTGACAGCTAAGTTTAACATCTCCTGCACATGCCAAAAAGAAAAAATAAATAAATATTACATCGGTTTGATTATAACCTATAGTGTATGTTATCTATCTACCAATTAAAATTCAGCTTTCACATTTCAATCCTGCTAAAATAAAAGGTTTAGCGCTCTCTCAACAACTTGGAAGTAATGGACCACATAATAACCTATCTTACCTAATCAAGTTATAAAATATCAGTAAACTGAATTATAAATAATGGACTCAATTATTATAATAGCAAAAATAATCATGACAATAGATAATAGATTTTATTATTTTCATAACTATATAAAGAAGCCAGAAGGTAAGCCTTGTGGAGGCCCATACAAGTAGTAGAATGGTAGTTTTAAACCAATACCCAATAAATTTTTTTCCTTATAGTTCTTTGACAAGACTTGTGATTAGGCCAACTCCATCATTTAATTTTTTTAACATATTAATAACCCCCTTGCACTTTACTCTCCAACACATAACTAAAACCAGTAAGTCAAGTGATTCTGTGGTGTTGTGAGACAACTCAATCTCACAACAAGTTGGGGATGTCTGGCACCACATATTCAAGTTAAAACAAATTAATCATATGTACCATCTATTATTCAGCTTGCTTATGGGGAAGAAAAGCCAAAGAACCCTACTAGACAGTTAACGTTAAAAACAAGCTTTACTGACCTGAACAGTCTGTTCATTGGTTTTTGAATGTGTATCAAAACGACGAAGTGTCAACCCATCAGTCCATTTCTTCTTGTGGAGATTAAGTAGCATCTTTTCCTCCAGTTCATTCTTCCTGTAATTGATGGCTATTGAGTAGTAATGTCTGTTCAACCCGTGAATCAATGCCTGACAAAAAAAGGAAACCAAAAGGATAATAGGTATATGTGTGTATAGTTTATATACAGAACCACTAATTAAGAACTCACTTGAATGGATGGCTTATTAAGATGCCCAAGGTTAGATGTCGTCTGTCGTGGTTCTTGGCCGAGCATCATGGTTTGTGGGTTAATCAAACGAAATGCATCAATTACCACCTTTCCCTTAACACTTTGAATTGGATCCACAACCACAGCAACAGCCCTTTGATTCAGAGCTTCAAAACTCTGTCCAATGTATTAGATGTCAGCAAACCAAGTGACAGAACCAAACAAGAAATCAGAAAAAAGGAAAACAAATAAAATAGGCTTAATTCCAAAATTCACAGAGAGAATTGCAAGCATCAGATACATATAACTGAAACCCAACCAGAAGTAAATAAAGCAACTACCTTCAAGTTATCTACAGAATTCTTATATTACAGATTAAGATCCTTTAATCAATGCATTCATCACTGAAATCAGTAGATACATTATCAATGCAAAGGATTCAACATTCAAGTCATAGATGGACGAGAGTGCTTTTTAGAAACAGTTTCCCTTTCTAGTCATCACTTAAAATCCCTAGTGAAAGAGAATTTCAATCTTTCAACACTTGACTCAGCCAGGCAACATCCTCCTACAACATATGTGGACTTCATAACCATCACTGCAGTAGAGAATATCTCCAAAGACAAGTTTTCAACGGAGGAGTCTTCATACCTTCCTAAAATCAAATAGAATATCTTTGTATATGTTTGTCAGGACATGTGTATAAACCCCTAACAGAATTTTCTTCCACCCTTTGATTGCATGGCAACTAATGTGGAAGTAAAATTGTGTCACCACAAAACATGAAATGCAGTAGAATACATAAACCCATAGAATGTTTTATGTCTTTGTCTCTAAATCAGGCCCGAGGATTCCATTATGGCTACATACTACCAACAACACAAGATACGATGCAAGAAAAAAAAAAGAAAAAGAAAAAGCAATCAGGAAACAAAAAGCCATTTTCTGGAGATTAGTAGTGTAACATTAGGTCCAAGACATACCTGCTGTGTGTTTATGTCAACACCAGAGAGCCAACAACCGAATCCAGGATGTGAATGATACCACCCTACCACCATCTCTGGTCTGCATTAACAATTGAATAAACAATCCAACCAAAGCACATGAATAATAAAATGAGATTACGAACCAATTTGAAATTTATAGAAATACTACTAAGAAAACATGCTAATTCTAAACGCCAAAATGCTTGATCAACTGGAGCCTAGCTCTCCACTTCAAATTTCACATCCAAACCATTAACTTGCACCTTCAGGGAAAAAGTCATTGAAATGACAACTGAACATATGTAAAACATATTATAGAAGCATTCTGTATATCCAAATAAAAACTTTAAATCGATCATAAGTCTGAAAACTGAAAAGACTTTAACTACTTCCTCGATTCCTTCCCTATCTCTTTCCTTAGTGAAAAAATGGAACAACAAACACAATGCCCAAAAGCAGTCCAGCAGGACAAAAAATCTCAAAAAGCAGAGCTACCCGCCCGGCCTTATAATTTAATCAGATAGTTATTTTGATCAAGTTTCTCAGTAAGTTCCAGTACCAATGGAAAGTATCAAGATATATGCAGCGTATCAAAGAAAAACCACAAATATCGCAGATGTACATTCACTAAAATTAACAACTCAAAACAGTGAAATTGAATCAACAGATTGATACCTTCCAGTCTGCTTGAGCATATCAAGCATGTTAGTCTGAAACACATGGTCAACAGCTTCAACGCTGACACCAGTACCACTTTGTGGCATTGCAAAGACATCAACAACACGAACTGTGTATTCATCCACAAACTCCCCTAGCATCAAACCCATCACCTCCATGGGGACACCAGCTCTTCCTATATTCACACACACCGAAAATCAGAAATAAAAAACAATACACAGCCTCAATTAAAGTTCATAATCCATCATGAAACTCTTAATGGATTGCAGTAAAAAGAGACTAAAACCGTAAATAAATCTCAAACACATATAAATCTACACTATATCGACAAAACCTCAAAACCTGTCCCGAAAATTCTAAATTTTACATACACGGCTTGTGATATCCATAAAAGTCATCAGAACTAATACTCAGATTCCATAAAAGAAGGAAAAAGTATGTGGTTGCCCTTCGAAAACTAAAATCTATAAGAATAACAATAAATAACAGGAAGAATACACATTAAGCGTATAACCCTAATCCAGGGTTCTATATCGGCAACACAGAAAACATAAATTTACAGAGCACCTAAAAGTAAAGAACAAGAACGCCCCAGTTTAAAAAGAAAGACGAAAAGCTAATGTTAGTTCAATCTCACCGTGCTTGAGCATTTTGAGGAGTGCGAGTGAGGAAATGTAAACTTGCTCTGACGAATCAAGCGTCGGAGAGTCCGGCGGAGGATGACCCAACGCACCACCGGCACCAGCAAACATCCTCTGCAATCTTTCCATACCTGACATTTTGCAGCTACTTTTCTCGGTGGCCAAACAGAATTTTGGGTTTCTTTCGCAGCAAGACGACGCTTTAACCTTTGGGTAGAGGTGATCTGATATTTAACTTATTCGACAGAATTTTGCAAATATACCCTTGTAGTTTTAAATATCTATAAACCGCCTAATCGTTCATGGGCTACAAAGTCTTGATCAGCACGAAACACTTTAAGCCCAGTTTTGGAGCCCAACTTTTACCATCCCTTTCCTGGGCCACTCATTATTTTGGGCTGAGTTCACCCAGATTTTCCGGTCCAACGTTGAGAATTTTGGTGATTTAACAAATTACTTAACGGTTAGAGTTTCGTGGTAGCAGTTATGAGAGTAAATCATTATAGCGATTTTAAGAATAAATTATCGTAGTGGTTTTGAGAGGTTTTTAGTAGCAGTTTTTAAAACACCCAACCTGTGCTTAGGAATTTTTTTCCAACGGTTCTGACAGTTTTTTAAAATGATAAATTTACATAAATGCCCATAAAAATAACCTAAACTTCAACTAGTACTTAGGAGATTTGTTTTTTCAGTTACAAGGTAAGGGTTCTTTATTTGTTTTCTACTTATTAGTATTTTATAACTTCAAATGTGATAAAATCTCATTATCCTTCTTCACCATTATTTGCAGTTCTGAAATGATTGAACAATTGTAGCTCTACTTCTCTAAGAAAGCATATAGAAAATGAGATTTTAATTTTTTTTTTTTTTATGATTGCTTAAAACTATTTTATATTTAATATGGTTGGAGTCGGACATAATATGGTTAATTTTTTTTAGATATAATTGGGATATTTTTGTAGTGGATAGGATATTTGTAGAATAAAATTTTAAAACTAACCAAAACACCCTAATTTGGGGTGTTTTATAAATCCCTCAAAAATACATTATACTGGTTCTGGGGGTTTTTGAGCCAATTAAAATCATTGCATAAAAAATCTGATAAGTAATAGTTTTAGAACACCTTAAAACCAGATTAATTAAAAACCCCTTAAAACTAGTAGAAAAAAAAAAGGCTCTCAAGCAGACTCTAAAATTTTCAGCTTAAGGTAACTTCTGCAGAAAGGGTATTGCTAATTTGTTTCACACCATTTTGAATATGTATGTGTTATGGTGCTCCAATCCAAACAATACCTTCTTCTCTATTAACTCTTGAAGTTCCCTAAAATTATGCAACGAACATGGTACGTAAATTGTATTGGAAGTCATTAGATAGTTTGCCTTACTGGTACGAGCCATATTAATTATATAATTTCATCATCAAGCATAGCCATAGATATAGACTTCCGGAAGTGCATGGTCCCAGTGAGTGAAAAAATAGGTGAGACATTATTGAAAAAGCAATGCAAGGTCCAAAAGTCAGCAAAACCTCTAGACTATAATCATTCATTTAATTATATATATAAACAAAAACAAGAAGAAGATGATTTAAAGTGACCAATGTCATCTATATAATGTGCAGACACACGCATCATTTTCAATGTCAATATACCTCTTGACTGTAAGATGTAGAAGATGCCTCCCACAAATAAAATTTAATTTTACTACCAATTCATTACAAGTTGTTTGAAAGCAACTCAGATAAGATAGAGTTATCCTCCTGCGCTGGCAAGTACTACTACAGTTAAATCAGTATTTAATGAATTCCGATTTATGGTTGCACAAGGCATCTCATCGTGAATTACTCTTGATAGTAGCAGCGGAAATTATTATTTCCAGACATCTCCTCGTTAAAATATATTTGTGCTTAAATTATTTTGAATCGGTCAAAATTATAGGGATAAGAAAGTTAGTTTGCGTCATTTCTCTTCGGTTCAGAGTACGCTAATAAAAGTCTCCCATTCTTCAACGCTTCATTTCCTACTACTCTCCATTCACGGGTATCAAAGCTTTGCGTTTCTTCATATTTCTCTCTCTCTCTCGCTGTCTCTCTCTCTCTCTCTCTCTCCCCTTTAATTAGTTCCTTTCTCAACTTCTTATGGAAAGTCCAAAATCACCTCTACAGCCACCTACTTATGGAAACCTAATCACTATTCTAAGCATCGATGGAGGTGGAATCAGAGGGATAATCCCTGCAACTATCCTTGCCTTTTTAGAGTCTGAACTTCAGGTAGAAAATCTATCTCTCGTGCAATGGGCTGATTTTTTGTCCAATCTTCAATTTATAAATAACTAAAGAATAGCTTTATAAGAACATTGAGAATAATCTATTTTTACCTTAACGACGTTTTATATATGATCTTTCCTCACTTCATGCATGCAATATACTGATATGTGCTACTTGCTACCTTCGGAAAGACAGGATCAACATATAGGGGCAACATATTTAGATATCATATTTTTCTCTCATATCTATATATCATGCCCTAATACTAAGTATTTTGGCCGTATGTGAACAGAAACACGATGGCGAGGAAGCAAGACTTGCAGACTATTTTGATGTGATTGCAGGAACTAGCACTGGTGGCTTGGTGACCGCCATGCTAGCAGCCCCTAATGAACAGAACCGTCCTTTGTTTGCTGCCAAAGATATTAAGGACTTCTACCTAACTCACTGCCCCAAAATATTCCCCCAAGATCATAGGTACTAAACTTAAGCGCTTATATAATTTTTTTTTTTTTTTTGAAAAGTCTCATGCACTGAAATTTATATTTTTCTTTTGAAATAAGCCCTTTTTTTTTTTACGTTAAGATGAAGATGACATCGTGCTAAAAATATTGGGTGCGTTTGTTTAATTATTTAGAGAAGTATTTTTGAAATATTATTATTAGATAGAGTTGAGTGGTTATTAGGAAGTAGGATTTTTATTATGAGTTCCAATATCAAGAAGTTTTACTAAATTTTTTTTTCCTAAATATTTAAAGACATCCGTACACTAACGTTCTATCAAAGAGACGAACTAACTTTTGACCAAAGTAAAAAGGGTAAAGAAATTTAATATAATTTCATGTTAATCAATTGATAAACTCTCTTATAATTGAACAAGAGAATTTTTTTAAGTAAATCTTGATGTGTGGAAGATTTCAGGATTTTGGGTTAAATTCCCTCCAAGAATGGGAGAGTTTTGTCTATGTAGTAATATTTTGGTTATACGTATCAGTTGTCCCATTATTGCTCCTGCTACCAAGCTGGTCAAATCTTTTACTGGACCAAAATATGATGGAAAATACCTGCACTCTATCGTGAAGGAAAAGTTAGGAGATGTTCGGTTGCACCAGACATTGACAAATATAGTGATTCCAACTTTTGATATCAGGAAACTCCAACCAACCATCTTCTCCAGTTATGAGGTTTGTTTTTTAGCTTTACTCCTTGCTATTATTTCACTGCTTTAATTAAGTTGAATGAAGATCATTGACCGTTTAAAATAGTACTTCATAGCGGATCAGTTTTTACTAATACATATTTTTTGGAACCTCTGACTCTTATGTTCATGTCGTTTAGGTGAAGAAACATCCAAGCATAGATGCCTTACTTTCTGATATTTGTATTGCAACTTCAGCTGCTCCTACTTATCTTCCAGCCCATTATTTTGAGACCCATGACCCCGAAGGAAAAGTGAGAAAATTTGATCTCATCGACGGTGGTGTGGCAGCTAATAATCCGGTACAGATATATTATCTATTTTACTTTATTTATTAATTTTCAATATATTTAAGCGGCAAGTCGAAAAAAATCTTGATATTTTTTTTTTTTTTTTTAATGCTTTTCAGACTTTAGTTGCTATCAGTGAAGTGACCAAAACAATTACCCGAGGGAGTTCCGACTTTTTTCCCATAAAGCCAACCGACTACGGCCGGTTTCTGGTGATATCATTAGGTACTGGTTCAGCAAAGACGGAAGAGAAGTACGATGCTCATAAAGCGGCTAACTGGGGTATGTTGGGATGGTTGAACACTGAAAATTCGAGTCCATTGACAGATGTGTTTATGCAATCTAGCAGCGACATGGTTGATTTTCACATTTCTACAGTTTTTCAAGCCCTTCATTCTGAAGCAAATTATCTAAGAATTCAGGTAATAACATCCATGAATCATATACCAGTGTTCATATATACAATCATATATCAAAGAAATTGAGAATTGAGACTAATATATTGAAAAATTTTTAGGATGATACTCTAATTGGACATGAGTCGTCTGTGGACATTGCCACTCCAACGAACTTGGAGAGTCTTGTGAGAGTTGGAGAAAGACTGCTGAAGAAACCAATTGCAAAGGTAAATTTTGAGACTGGAGCCTTTGATCCTTCTACTTGGGGCACAAATGAAAGGGCTCTCATAAGGTATAAATATATTGATTTTATAACTCCATCGTAACTATTTACTGTTAGCGGTTGTCTTATGATACGGTCAAATTGTGTTTGTATGGCTAACTATACATAATTTATTTGTGCAGATTAGCGGAAGTACTTTCCAAGGAGAAGCGGGTTCGTGAAATGAGGTCACCTCATGGAAGAGTTGCAAACTTGAAATATTAACAATTATTTCATCGATGTCAAACAATTTGGACGCCTGGGAGATGATTTCTCGGATTTTTCTTTCTTCATTCACAGCAATTGAGTAAAATAATTTGAATGTTATGCAATTTATTTAGTCATTCTTTTAATTTGAAAAAAATACTGTTATAGAGCAATGTATGCTGTATACACAAAGGCGTGATATGGTAATTGGTGCCTTGGCTCAGACCCGGTACTTATAATTAAAGACAGGTTTATAATGACATTCAAATTAAAAAAAAAAAAATTATTTTTGATGAATTTTAAAACCAACGTGATTTGTGTATAGTTGATTGAATTACTAAAATCTCATTATATATAAATAAAGATATCCTTAAATAATTATAATGAACCTATATAGATGGTCCATTTTATGAGATTTGAGAATTAAATAGGAAGACGCAACATGTCATTTATGGTTACAGGACTTGTACCAACTTAATTAACCTTCCATCATCTATGATTTCCTATTTGAACGGCAAGCCATCTATTGCACATTTGTACCAAACAAGTTAAACATACCATTCTGCTAAATGTGAACGGCATGTCGTTTATGAGAT